TCTCCAGTTCAGATAGTTTCTGATCTTGCTCCTGAATGGATTGGATGATAAACAGGACAGGTTGGGGAGAAATGTCAGTGCCATAAAATAATTGAAGCCTATCTATTATACTGAAAGCACCTAAAGTTAGAAATATCTTGCTTTGTTACACGAAATTGCAGTACAAAACAATGAAGTTGAAAGCTCTCCTCTGGAAGCACTTAAAGTTGAGACATCTGGCTTTGTTATACAAAATTGCAGTATCCGGCTTTGTAATTTCAACAATTTACTACTTCTACTATGCTGGAGCAAACTAACTGTTATCTATATTTTGCAATCTGACAAAATTACTATTATAGTTTCAAATAAGTAACTGGACATATTATTGCAACAACTTGCTCGGTTGTACATAGTTACAGAACAATAAGAGTTACTATAACCATTTATGTCACATACAACTACAAGTACAATTCTTCAGGCATGTACTTAGGCGTCAATAGGAAATAACAAGATGGAAACTGGCTAAAACAAACAAGGCAAAATGTTAAGCATTGGTGGAAATTTGTGGTTTTGGCAAAAATACTAAGGCGGAAGGGGGGATTAGAAATAAGCTACAGTAGATGATAGATAGAACATACAGCCATAGAAGCAAGAGCTGGGTATGGATCAGGGGCTTCATAGAGCTTCTGGTAGATGTTGAGAAATGCATTTTCTCCAAATTTTGCTCTCTTTGTGAGATTATCAACTTCCTCTTGATAACTCTTCAGCAAAGAATTGAATAAACTAAGCTTATCATCTGAAGACGCCTTCTTGAAATCCCTAGTGCTCTCAGCAAGCCGGCGTCTGTTTTTCTGGCTGGTCTCTTGATTCTCTGCAATCTTTAAACCCTGCTCATCCAAACCACCTCTTTCCTTCTCCAGATCAAAGTCTAAAGTGCAAAGTAAGCAAGAGTCAGATAATCCGCAATAGATAGCATAACGTTTACATTGTATCAACCTTCATCGACATGCAAGAGAACTTAACAAACTCGCCGTGATTTTCTCCTATAGTGCACGGCCATTCATACTCGGTAGTTATTTCACATTATAAGTCCCTAACAGAAACTACAGTTAGCAGGAAAGCAGCATGCTACCCTCACAAATCATACCTACTAACCTCTTAACATTAAGCAAATGGTGAAAGTTTACATTCATAACTAACTCATTGTACAAAGGCTGTTGCTAGATCGAATGGCTATACAGAACTAGTTTAGGATGATAACTGCATCCTCAAAGCCTATGCTACTGAAATTGCTTCCCACACTTATTGTTAAGCATATCGCAAGTCTTACTCTAATTGAGGAAGTAGAGAGCGCAAATGCTAGCAATAGATTGGAACGGAAGTGCCAATGTAGGCCAACATTTCACCGAGATTAAGATCCCTCCACTTGCGATCAGTAACAAACCCAGACAAATTCTTCTAGAGTCGTGGCAATCACTATCCCCGAAAGCTTGAACGGGAGACGACCCAATCCAACCCAGTCCACCGGTCTCACCAACTCAAACCATCATCATCACGAGGGGGCGAGTAAGACCAGGGCGGACCTTTCCAGAAGCTGGAGACGACGGCGAGCGGCGACGACATCGCCGCTGCGGCGGCGGCCGACGAGGAAGGGGGCGGGGGAGGCGGCGGCGGCGGCGGCGAGCGGTCGCGCTCCGCCGCGGCCGGCGAGGCCTCCATGGGGCTCGTGGGATCTGGGCGTCCGGATCTGCGCGGGATCCGGTGGGGCGGGCGGCGACGGCGAAGCGATGCGATATCGCGATCTGCTTGCTGCGCGAAGTCCGAAGTGGTTTTGGCGCAGTTGGTGCAGCGAGCCTGGTCTGGTGCGTACGTCCGGGCCAAACCCGTTGGTTCGGTGGTTCCACCGCAACGCGTCAGTGGCGTACGTTCTGGGCGTGGCTTCTCCCTTCTCAAGCTAAACGAAAGTTGTCCCCTTTTTTATGGGGGAAATAATAAGAAACTGATTGAAGATAAACTCACGACGCAGAAAATAAGAAAGACATTAGTATGGTTAATTAAGTTATAATTTTTAAAAGCTTGAAAATTTGATTTATTTGATATTTTTAAAGCAACTTATATATAAAAAGTTTTCGCACAAAATACACCGTTTAGCGATATGAAAATCATGGTAATGAGAACAGAGATAAAACATACATCTTATTCAGAAAAGAACGATGCCAAACTTGAGTTGGATTTTGAGATACAAAGTTTTTGTGATTGGAGTTGAGATATCAATATTATGAGCCGATACTTTCTATGGTTCTAAGTTGAAAGTTTGTTTCATATCTTGAAGAGGATTTTTTTTTTTTTTGCAATTTCAATTGAAACTTGAGGTCATTAGTGGAATATTGGGCATTTGAATTGTATGATTGGAATTTTTTGGAAAAATGAACTGAAATTTCTCATATCTAGTCGATATATCTCCAACCAGCTTACACCGTCATGGAAAGTAGGACACTCACCATGAACTAAGAGTAAAATGCTCTCTAAATAGAATATTATAGTAAAATAAGAAACAATCTTCTCTTTTACCTATATATCCTTCACACTCCTATGGTAAGAAGATAAAAACACGAATGCTGAGGAGAAGAGGAGAAAAAGAGATACGGGGTTTCCTTTTGGATATGGGAGTAGGTCTTTAATACACTGACGGACATGATATTTGTACAACAACACTTAAACCCGTGGCATGAGAGCAATTAGGCAAAATCCAACATTTTAATAATTGAAGTAGTATTTGTTCAAAAACTATGTATATGACTTTCGACAGAAAAGCTCTCCAAAAACTTTCAGATGTAATTATACTATAAAGTAGTGTAGTTATAACTATGTTAAGTACAGAGGAGTAGTATATACCACACCTAAAATTGAATATATAAAATGTTATTTGGCTACTCTCCACCTATTCGAGGGCTGGATCTTCACTCGTATAGGTTCAAGACGTTGGCGAAAACAAATTCTTTGATATACAGTTCTCTAACTTTGAGTGGCTGACATGCATACGAGCCTCACAACCAAAAGGTCAAGTGATCCAGAAGACTCATCCACCACCGGCAGCCATAGCTATGTGATGGTGTAAATACTTTGAATCCCCATCTCCCCAATTTCGTAAGGAAAGGAAGCAGCCATGGTTATGGCGGTGACTTGACAATAGCGTTACGATGAGTCCAATTGTGGGTGAGGGCACGAGACATGTCTCGTTCGGTTCTTTGGCTAACTTGTTCGATCAGGTTGTGGGATCAGTTTATCAGAGGAGACAGAATTAAGCGAGCAATGAGCTTAATAATCATGTGACTAAATTGAATGTTTGGCTTGATAGAAGTTCAATGATTTGGTTTAACTAAAACTAGGGCTCTGGTGGAACTCTGTCTACATAAAATGAATAAATAGTAAATATTGGTTGTCAATAAGAGCAAATCCTCTATTCCTCCTACGTAGTTTAACCCATTAGAGCATTAAGGGGCTGTTTGGTTTCCAGGGACTTATTCTAAGTCCCTGTCACATCGGATGTTTGGACACTAATTTAGAGTATTAAACATACACTAATTACAAAACCCATTCCATAAGCTTGGACTAATTCGCGAGACGAATCTTTTGAGTCTAATTACGCCATGATTTTGACAATGTGATGCTACAGTAAACTTTTGATAATTATGAATTAATTAGGCTTAAAAAATCCGTCTCGCGGATTAGCTCTCATTCATGAAATTAGTTTTTTTATTACTCCATATTTAATACTCTAAATTAGCGTCCAAACATCCGATGTGACATGGGCTAAAAAGTTTTAGCCCCATCTAAACACCCCCTAACTCATGTAAACTTATCATACAAGAAGTCACATCACCTATAAATATAGACTATTAGATTATATCATTTCTCTTATTTGAGCCATCCTAGCTGTTTGATGAGCCATACACCCATAGTGCATTTGGCATGAGAAGCAACTAAGCATTTTTATGCACTTGATATTCGCAACCTGATTATATTTAGATATATATGTTTGGTATTTTTATTTCTGTAAACTAAAAGTTATGAAGATGTTTATAACCATAAAGTCTCACGGCAACGCATGGGGTATGAACTAGTACTACAATATAATCATTAACAGCGTACGACTCATCATGTTTGTGATTCAACCTGAAACGAAGCAAGAAGCATAAGAAAAATTCAATCTCATACAATAGCTATGTCAATGGAGGTAAGAGAAGACGAGAGGCTATCAGGGAAGAGGTGTAGGATTGGGTATGGGATCGACGCTTCTGCTTGGAGCAATTGAGCAAAAACAACCATCGCCATCGTCATGATTTTATATGCATTTTATTCAAGTGCTTCCTAGCTGATATATAGATCCGATTAGCCTAAAGGTAGAGACTCGAAATTTTATTATTTATTTGTCTTTGCAATTTTAAAAATAATCCGTCTAAAAACTTATTTCTAAAATTTAAATCTTTTTTAACGCCAATCCACCTAACATGACAAAATAATAGTCATGTCACCCATAATATGATAATTTTATGATGCCACGCCAACCATAGTGGCACGACGAAACAACAAAATAATAGTCATGTCACATGTAATATGATAATTTTATGATGACACGTCAACCATAGTGGCACGACGAAACAACGTTATCAGGATAGCCAAATCAGGTGTGATCAAATAACGTATTTACTAGCTGGCATGGTAGCATTACTTTGCCATGCCAAAAGAGTTCTATTTAAAAATAAGTTTTAGGGGAGTTTATTTTTAAAATAAAAAAAGTTCAAAGATCGACTCCTCCCACCGAAAGCCTCCGGGCTGCTGAGATGACAGATTTGTAAGCTTGGCATCCTGCGTCAGGGGGCCAAATGTATTTATGGGTATATTTAGATAAACTGTGTTTATGGTTGTATTTAGATAAACTGAAGAGTTCATGGGTCAAATGAACTAGCCTTCAAAATAACATTGACCCTTGGACGGACAGGATGCCGCCAATCCAAACATCATCTCAACTCTCATGACAATAAGAAAAGCACGAATTCCAACGTGTCCACATCGAGCTTACAAATAAAGGACATGCAATGCCTGGCCTGTATTCTCAATCATAACCAGCCCATGGAAAACGCTAATACAGCGATACTAATAATGTGCTGCAAATACAGGAAGTGGTTGAAAGTTGCTAATTAACTAGTAAATAAGTCACGGAAGCAATGTAGTGCACATAAACTGTGTCCACTGGGTACTTCAGCTCGACACATTTTGACATACGCAGCCCTAATCTTATGATTCCACATAGCAATTGATCCTAGTACATCTTATGATCCAGTAATACAGCAGGTAGCTGAGTAAATGGACTCAGAAATAGACTTCAGGACAGATTAGTGGCCCTCTCCTTCAGGCTTCGCTGCTTCCTTGATCTCGTCACCACCATCCTCCTGAAGGGAGAAGAACAGAGGAACATAAGATTAGATGCCAGAAAATCGTTTTGATAACAATTACAGTATAAATGAATGAAAGGAAAAATAATAAGCATATTAGAGCAAATACCGCATTGTCAGAGGTCCAGAGAGTCAGATTGTCACGAAGAAGTTGCATGATCAAGGTGCTGTCCTTGTAAGACTCCTCGCCAAGAGTGTCCAGTTCAGCAATAGCATCGTCGAACGCCTAAAATAAAGACATGAAGTTAGCATCTTTCAGTATATTCCTAGACAAGAGGGCATCAGACTTTACCAAGTGAGAAAACAAGCTCTAGTTTCAAGGGACACGAAGCTTTAATTGGTGATCTTTCAGATTTTTTTTAAAAAAAGCAGTATTATCCAGATCAAAGCTAGGGGACAAAACAATTCAGATATGAACAGAAATTTATTGACAGGATCAACATTTTTCACAGAGGTAACTAGATGAAAAACTGAAGGATTAGCCCGTTCAGTATGTTAATTTGAGCAGTAGCTAATTTAATGTGATGTGCTAAAAACTAGAAAAAGCATGCAACAAACTAGAAGAAACATGGAACACACGCAGCGGAGTAGATAAATACATACTGAAAACAAATCAAGAGGGCGCATCACAGCTGATCTGAATGCATAATAAAACACAGTGAACAGCATTCTTAAGGTTGAACAGAATACAAAGACAGAAGATTTACTTTACTTAGTAACAGGCATACTATAAGCAATCATCAGTTATTTTCCCTCAATTTACCAAACAAAATTAAATTCTATGCTTGCACGTGAATTTTGCTACATAAAAAAAATGCATAACTATTCATGAAAAACTAGCAATCAAGCACCTTCAGTTTCAAATATTCAGGTTATTAAGTAATACAAGATACCAAGAAGATACAAACTTCAAAAGGGAAAAAAATGAAAAACTAACCTGCTTTGCAAGGTTGCAAGCACGGTCTGGTGAGTTCAGTATCTCATAGTAGAACACTGAGAAGTTCAGTGCAAGTCCAAGCCTTATCGGGTGAGTTGTAGGCAGGTCAGCGAGTGCAATATCCTAAAAAAGCAATCAAGTGTCATCGTGTGCAGTTTCTGCTGATAAATATGCATCAAAATCCATGAAGCTGCAATAAATAACTCAACGTTGCCACATGATACATGCCATAAATAGCAGCGTATGTCTCAAACATGAGCAAATATGCATCCCATAAATGAAAATTGAACTTATAAAATAAATCAAGACTGGAAGTATTTTCCTACGGTGAAGAAGATACAGCATGGAGGATAAAAAATCACTGGTAGGAATGACATAAAAATATCAGAACTTATAAAGCTACTCCAAGAAAAATATAATGATATAGCAAACTAAATATCACCGCTATACACCATATATATTGGCAAAAGTACACGGAGGCCAACCTGGGCAGACTTGTATGCCACAAGAGTGTTCTCAGCTGCTTCCTTCCTCTCAGCTCCTGACTTAAACTCAGCAAGGTACCTATACATTCAAAACCAGAAAATAAACCTTAGGAAACACAAAAAAGGTAAACTGTTAGCTACTGCTAATTCCTGAAACACCAGAAATCAATACCTGTGGTAGTCACCCTTCATTTTCAGGTAGAACACCTTGGACTCTGCAGCAGTGGCAGATGGGACAAGGTGGGAATCCAGAAGCTTAAGGATACCATCACAGATCTTGCTGAGCTCAGTTTCAATCCTGCTACGGTACTCCTTAATTGATGCAACATATGCCTCATTCCCACGGCTCTCCTCCTTCTGCTCAATAGAAGAGATGATCCTCCACGATGCCCTCCGAGCACCAATCACGTTCTTGTAAGCCACAGAAAGCAGGTTCCGCTCCTCAACGGTGAGCTCACCAACATCAGTGGTCTTTGCCACCTTCTCCATGAATTCGACCATTTCCTCGTAACGCTCAGCCTGCTCGGCAAGCTTTGCCATGTACACATTCTCCTCACGCGATGCCTCAGCAGGCGACATTTTTCCTCTCCTTTGTTCTTCAACGCAAACTTAGTCTGACCTTGTGCACCTGCAAATAATGCATATCAGCACTTACACAGATACAACCTACTATATCACTTGTGGACCATTTACAAGAACATATACGGTTCTCGGAAAACTAGCCCAAGTGGAGATAAGCATAATAGACACCATCCACCCAAGGAACAATGGATGAAACCCAAGAAGATCATACAAATCACACGACTTTGCCAGATTCCAACCAAGTGGATGGCACATCATTTTCCCAATTAGACAACAAGCGCAAGCCTTTTCCATGAACGAAAGGAATCATTCTCAGGCAACTAAATATTCTAGTCCATCCCCCTTTCACTAGAGTACTTTCTCCATTTTATTTTCTTACTTTTCGAGTGATTCCGTCAGACAAATCAACAAGAAAGTGGCTGCCAAACCAGTGATCTAGTCCAATACCACCAGACCTCAAGCTAAGAAAACGACAGCGCCACTGCTGCTTCTTCCACAGAAGAGCAAGCAGACAGACTAACAGTTCAAAACAACATGAACAGCAGCGAAATGACTAGATCTGCAGTTCAACGGAGGCATACTGCATCTAATAGGTAAAAAAACGATAGATCGATGAACCGAATTAGCTCGAAAGGGGAACAGCTATGCGTGCATATTTCGTGTGAATAATCAAATACAGGCTTCCTCCACGCAGATCTCGAGTCTTCACTACAGTCCCCAACACGATCTCCAGTAAACATGGCAAGAAAATAAAACGAGGTGTGTTTAGTTCCAAAGTTTTTTTCCAAACTTCTAACTTTTCCCATCACATCAACCTGTCATACACACACAAACTTTCAATCACATCGTTCCAATTTTCAACCAAACTTACAACTTCGGCGTGAACTAAACACAGCCACATCTCACAGTCACCAAGAACCCTAAACTTTCGCATCAGATCTGACCTCGAACCCCACACAGCCATACCCTCCAACCCTAGATCTAACACGATTCCAAACAAAAACAACAGCTGCAGATCCGTACCGAGCAATCTCAAATCGAAGTGCAACTGCGGGAAAGATCAAGAACGAACACTCCACCTCCTTCTCCTCACCCCTCGGATTCACGCAACCACCAACCAACCAACCAACCACCAACTCCCCCAAATCCCAGCAACCGTAAAGGTAGCAAAAAAATAAAAAGCGAGACAAGCAAAAAAAAAAAAGAAAAAGGGGGGAGAGAAGAGATCACCTTTCCTCCTCCTTCCCCCTCGCGCTTTCCCTCTGCTCTCCTCACGAGCTCGCTCTTCCCAACCCGCGCGGGATTTGTTCGCTGCGGCTGTGGGAGTCCGGGGAGATCGGGGGGAAGAGCGGGTAAAAGAGGCGAGGAGCGGAGGAGCGGAGGGAGTGGAGACCGGAGAGAGAGAGAGGGTGGGAGAAAAGAAAAAATTAGAAAGCGACGGGTGCGGCTCCTCGGGAAGCTCGCCTGGCCTCTCCTTGGCGCGGCCCCGGCCAATGGTGAGCCGACGCGTGGCGATGCGCGGTCAAACCGGGGAGTCCGCGCGAGGAGAAGAGGGGGGCTGCGTGGGATGGGCGCAGTGGACCGGTGGGGAGGGAGGGGGCACGTGGCAAGGCGCCATTGGACCGGCCGGGCTCTGGCTGGCTGCCCCGGCGGCTTTGACCTGGAGGGGTGGGGGTGGCTGCGGCCTACGGACCGGGGAGGGAACCGTGCGCCGATCGCGTCACGTGGTATGCGCGGCTAAACAAGTGCACCGACCGTGTACCAGCATACTAGTAGTATAAAAACCACTGTTAATTTTTTTAAAAAAACACATTATAAACCCACAGACATGACGGGCATATTGTTATTGACAGGTACCTCGCCTAATACTGAAAGAATAATTAGTCATAAATACGGGTACTAACGTCAACTGTCAAGTCTAGAATTTTAATCCATATAGGCTAGTGCCACAACAAGGATCTAACTAGTCGAGCTACGCTCACTTTGTCACTGTTAGATTTGGGTTAAGAGAAACTCGTAAAAGTGCACCTTTGTAACGAGAGAAAATTAAATTGTTTTTTGAAGAGTTTTTGAAGAGTTTGATTCCAATATGCTCCTTTGGAACAAAGGAATATAGATTCATTTGGAATTTCTATGTAATAGGATATTTCATATGAAAACTTTCACTTGTCTTTTATTTCTATATCCGAATTCAATGGGCGTATGACATTTTATCCATGCGCATTTATGTTTTTTTGATTTTACAATCTTGCATTTCAAAGGATCATGGAATGTCTGAACTCTGAAGAAAATAAGTCATCAAAATATAGTACTCATTTGGAACAAAAGGGTTTTAAATGTTTTGTCGCAGGAATCTGCAGCACTTCATTCATGTGTAATTAATCAGAGGCGCGGAAATTTGTGAACGAGATTTCTGTTTGAGTTTGCCAGGAAATCGGTAAATGAAAGAAACCTGTAGCAGAAGTAACCTTTGGAGAGTACCATACAGTGGAGTATTGAGAAATTCTTCGTATGCTAATATTTTTTCCTAATTAATGGCAGCGTGTTTGAGAAGGCATGAATTTGTGCTTCTCTTTTTCTTTTTATTTTCATGGTAGTACTGTCGTGCTATAATTCTAGTAGTAGTACATACTTATATGCATTAGTATGTCTGACTTATAAACCATTTGTATCCGTTTATAAGAAGATGCAGAATGTTTTTAGACTATTAAACGGTTGCTTAGATCTATTGAGGCCAAATTGTCATATGCACAACTCTCGGCCCAATCTGAGAAAGCAACTCTAGATTTCAAACCCACCAGGAGGCAGCGAGGCGAGAGGGTGTCGATGGCCCAAAAAGCGTCATCATGCAGTCCCATTATCAGGACTCTGGTTTTCGGTTTTCTGAGTTGTGACTGGCTGACTGCTCTGAAAGTCGAAACAAAAACCACACGCTATTGATTGTCTTTGTCAAAGTAACGATTAAAATGTATGCTGTTTTTACATTCGAAAATATTTTCATAAAGGAAAATTCATGTCTAAAATACGTACTTTTGAAATATGAAAACGACATACATTTTGAAAAAAAAGGCTAAAATGACGGAAGTATATATTTGATAGAAGATGTACGCTCCGTCCGTCTCATAAAAACAAAACTAATACTGTAAATCTAAATAAAAGTTTGTGTCATACTATAGTTTTGTATTAGAGATAGAGAGAGAGCACTTACTATCAAGAACCGTGGCAATTGGCATGGCTCACCTCCCAGTCTCCCAGCAGAATTCCCCTCATTTTGTCGAGGTGAGTTGGACACACTTGACGATAGTCTCAAACTCCCAATGCTCCAACTAAAGTATTCAGATCCTGACCAGTATCCCCAATTAAAATGTTTTTATAGTATAGTAATATTATATGGCTTGCATGTTTGTAAGGCAATGTTAATAATGAGTGTGATGAAATTGTTTGTGCATATTCTCTTCATTCTATAAAAACCACTTCTAACACGTCAAACAAGTACCTTTAAAGATGTTTTTGCCAGTACTTTGGTACGCCATCCGTGAATAAGTCTTTTTTAAGTTTGTTCGTTTTTAGAAATACAGATCCGTATTTAAATCGGTTTTAAATTCGTTCGCTTTTAAAAATATAGAAGGAATCGTATAATCTCTTTTAAAAAACTCGCATACTAAGTTAAGACGATCGGACTCCTAATTACATCTCATGATTTTCTATATATATATATATATATATATATATATATATATATATATATATATATATATATATATATATATATATCCAAACGAGTTATCACAATATATTTCACCTTAACTATAACAATAATAAGATTAAAATAGTTTTCACCCGTTGTGACGCACAAGTATTTTTTCCAATCTAAAAAAAATTCAGGTAGAAAATCTCCCCCGATGAACTTTCTAAAAAAAATGTCAAACAAGAAATTGTTTTTTATATAAAAAGTATGGAGTACAGGTGAGCACAAGTGCACAACAGTGAACGTGCAAGCGCTAGCTAGCGTTCAATTTCAAACAAACAGCGTCGAATAGCACCTATACGTATACTGTATACATCGTGACCGGGGAGGTAAATGTGGTTGATGACAGTTTGACACTTTCGGTTGCCGACTTGCCGTGTTGCGTGGTTCGAATTTCGATGCCTCGACGGCACGGCGCTGGGGCGCGTGGCAACGCGTGGATGTACGTATATATTCCCCTCAATCTAAAAATTACATATTTCTTCATTAAAAAAAATATCTCGCTCGCATATACTTTCTCCGTCTCCTAAGTAGTTAACTTTTTTAAACATGTTTGATTGTTCGTCTTATTTAAAAAATTTAAGTAATTATTATTTTTTTCCTATCATTTGATTCATGGTTAAATATTTTTTTATATATACATGTAGTTTTACATATTTTATAAATTTTTTTAATAAGACGAGCGGTCAAACATGTTTAAAAAAGTCAACGGCGTTAAATATTTAGAGACGGGGGAGTAATGAAGAAAACAAAATTGTACATAAATGTAAAAAACAAGTAATAAAATAAATAACTGTACAAGTTTCGATCAATAATTTAATAGCACTATTAAACGAAATGGAAAGATGATTTTTTTAAACACATTTTCTTATCTAAGTCTCGAATACACAAAAACCACATAAATGACCATCTCATTTTATATAGAAACAGAAAAATGAAATATGCTTATGCTTAAGGTTTTCTTTATGAAGGAAGCACTACAATTCACTCCCGGCAAATATTTCCGATTTGGAGTTCCGTTCACTGCTGGAGAAACCATATTTGCTGGGTTGGCCAAAAATCAAATTAGTCTCGGTTCCTATGGTAACCGGACTAAAAAAACTCCAAAGGGACTATATGATACCAACCGGTTCAACGGCCTGTCAAGGGGCTAAGGATTTTTAGTCCCGGTTGGCACCAACCGGGACAAAAGATCCTCACTTTAGTCCCGGTTGGTAACACCAACCGGGATTAAAGATTATTTAAATCTTTAGTTTCGATTGGTGTATCCAGATACCAAAAATTTAAAAACAAAACCGTTGCCGCTCACCTCTCACTCACCCTTATCTTCTCGGAATCCACTGCGCACGCCTCCCACACTCTATCTCTCCCTTATCTCCTTCACTCCTCCCTTTCCTCCGCTCTCGCGGGCGTCGGCAGCGGCGGTGGCTCCCCTGCCCTCCTCTCCTTCCCCTCTCGTGGGCCACGGCGGCGGCGGCGAGCGGTGGCAGCGACCCCCCTTGCCATCTCCCCCCCTCCCCCCTTCCCCCCTCGAGGGCCGCGGTGGTGGCGGCGGGCGTCGGCAGCGACAGTGCCCCCTACCCTCCTCCCCTTCCCCTCTCGCGGGCCGCGGCGGCGGCGGCACACGAGGGGGGTGGGCGGCGGCAGGTGGCCTGTGAATTTGTGACTTTAGATGTTTTTAGATGAACATTTTTTCATATGTTCTGTGAATCTGTTGTAGTGTCTATTTGATCAGTAATTTTTTTTTATTTGAACTATGATGTTCGATCTGTGAATTTGAGTATGTGATGTTCGATTTGTGAGTTTGTGAATTTGATATGTGAATTTAAGAAAAAACAATGAAAAGAAATCTTGATATGTGAATTTGTGATGTTCATTCGATGGAAACAGCAAAAAAAAACAATAAAAAAAGAAAAAAACCACCAATATGCACGTGGTGCTACCATTTTAGTCCACCAACCGCCAACCGGGACTAAAGATAATCCCAGTTATTTCACCCGGTTCTCGGATTCGTGGTCCGGTTTGCAACTCGGAACTAATAAAAGGGTTACAAAACGGAACTGATGAGGCATTCTCTTCTCCTGATTTTGTTTCATGCTCCTATTTTGCTTGCTTCAAACTGGGTCTAAAGCACCCCGATGTGAATCACCACTAAACAAAAAGCATATGCGGTCTGAATTTTGCTTCATAGCTAAACCAAACTTAAAAAATAGAACAAATAACCTGTTCATCGATATTTGAATTCGTACCGCTCAATAACAGTTGCCCAGAATTTTTCGCAATAATGCGCAGCATGTGCAGCTGTACACTACCAGCTCATCGACAGTTTAGACGGTTGTGCTTTTCGCGGTGTCACTGGGCCTCGCGCGTGAGCATTCCAGCGTGCAAGTTGCGGTTGCGTCGGAAAAATCATACGACGGCGCCTGCCCGAAGATGCGAAATGTTCAAGAGTTTTTAAGCATTCCGAAACCGATAGGTAGCAAAAAGAAATCCAGGTCGTTGCGAAGCTCTCGAGCATTAAGAAATGCCTGAATCTTCACCTGTTATATCATGTTGTTTTTCATTATTTCGGGTCGTTTTCTTGACTCGTAATCATTTTTGTACACGACAATGATATATCCAGACTGTTTTAGTGGTGCTTCACAACGAGGCGCAGGAGGAGCCGGACCCGTTCTGAAGTTCTGGCACGGTTCCATAAAACTACATTTTTAGTGTAACACATATAATGATTAGTAGTACTGTCTACTGCCTGTTTAGCATTGCTTTCATGCTGGAACGAGTACTCTTGTTTGTTTGTTTTTTCCTTAATATTTTTGGGGGAACGAGTACATTCACGAACATAAGGGATGTAAAATTTTAGCATATCTGCATGGGGTGTTCGGACACTAATAAAAAAACTAATTACAGAATTCGTCAGTAAATCGCGAGACAAATTTATTAAGCCTAATTAATCCATCATTAGCAAATGTTTACTGTAGCACAACATTATTAAATCATGGAGCAATTAGGCTTAAAAGATTCGTCTCACAAATTAGTAGTAAACTATGCAATTAGTTATTATTTTAATCTATGTTTAATATCTCATATAGGTGTTTAAACGTTTGATGTGATAGAGTAAAAAAATTTGAAATAGGATCTAGACAGGTCCATAAACATATAAAGGTTTTTGCGCAATCAGAGAAGTATATTCGCTTTGATGCTCCTAGATTACTTTGGGTACAGGTCATGGCTCACACGGTTACACTAGTCAAGGTCACTTTAGGAAGAAGCTCCCAGATGCATCTCCGATTCTCCGTGCTTTATTCAACGGTCGATTCCGGCTCAATGCAAACATCTTCGGAAGCTTCCCTTAGTTTTTTCTTTACTCGTAGAAAAATATGAGTAGCAGTAGTAACAAATTAAGGTCATATACTCTCCTACATTGAACATTAGTGTTTCGATTTTAACCATTAATACATTTAAAATGATTAACTAAAATTCTTGAAAGTTTTATTTATGCTATAATTTATATTGTTAATGCATATCCCCTCTTTTTTGCATAACGTTCAAACAGTCATGAAAAATTGCAAAAAGAAACAAAATAGATTAATATATAATATATCACTTTATAAACATGCAAGGTAAAAATATAAAAAAAATTGTATATACTGTTTACATATAAATTTGTTCTTTTTATTACAACTCAAATATTGTAAATCTGAACTTATATATTTATGAAATGATATATTTAATATTTATTTATCATGTTAATTTTAAATTTTTAAAATTGTTTGAATAATGCGAAAAAGAACGGTGGATATCACATTAAGAAATATTTTTTTCTCAATCTAAGTATATAGTACTATAAAACTTCTACATAGAAGATGAGTGATAAATGGCCTGTTCACTTTGATGCCAAAAACTTGGTAACTTGCCAAATTTTGGCAAGATTTCTTATATAGTTATTAAAATTTGGCAGCAAATTAAATGTAGCCATTCTTTTTAGCAACTATACCAAAACTTGGTAAGGTTGAAAATGTCATTAAAGTGAACATGTCCCAAATGTTAAAAACTGGATAGTAACGAGTGACAAGTATATGAAAGGCAATGCTTCCCTTTTGTAAGAACATGCACTTTATATTTTTGTGTAAAATTTGCCGACCCCGTGACTTTTGTGTGTTCCCATTTCGCTGGCTGACTCCACCTCGTGCACTCGTGCTCGTGGCACGTACTCCTATATCCCAGCACGAATCTTGACGCTGATGCCTATATAAAGGAAGCGTCCGATCTGCCGACCAGCTCACCCCCTGTTGTTCCATTCCTCCTCGTCTCCCACACGGGCAAAGAGATTCTCCATTTCTCCCGGCTTCCTCTTCTCCTCCTCCTATACATAGGCGTCGCCGCGTACGCCATTGCCAGCCTCGTCCCAATCCCACCACCTGCGCCACGCGCGCGCGCGTCCTTCGGGCACCCTCGCACCGCACCGTCCGTTGGCGCGCGGTTGGTGGGGCGGTGGTGGTGGTGGTGCCTTGGCTAGTTTGGCCGGCGCGCGCGGGGAGGGAGGGAGGGAAGGAGAGGAGGAAGAGGATGCTCGGGTTCAGGTCGCAGACGCCGTGGTCGGGGGCGGGGGCGGAGCCGATTTGCGGCGACGCGGCGGCGGCCGTGGTGGCGGCGCGGAAGGGGATGGAGACGCCGCTGACGGCGGTGGCGGAGGCGTTCGAGGAGCTGGCCCGGAGGATGGAGGCCGACGGCGGGGAGCTCCGCCTCGGGCCCTTCGGCGACACGTGCGCGCTCGTCTCCGTCCTCTTCAGCTGCCTCGGCATGGCCTTCAGGTTCGCCGAGATCGAGTACGTCGCCAAGGTAAACCCTCGTCCATCCCCCACACCGCTCTCGATCTCGTTCGTGGTTGTTGTTCTTGGTAATTTTATTGTCTTTCTCATTCTTTATTTTGTTTCTTGGATCTCTTCATCACAACGCATCAAGAAATTTCGCTTTTGACTCTGGTTAAATTTCGATTTATTCCTGTTTGATCCCCTGTTCCCCATTAGATCTTGCAGCGTTCACCTCCTACCCCCGATTTGGAATATTCCTTTTCCGTTATTTTCTTGCGCTAGAAAAGCAAACCAAGAAAGGAAAAAAAAACCGAAACTTCTCAACGATGCTCCATGAAAACGCGTTTGCGACTTTGCGTCTTTCTTTCTTTCTTTTTTCTGATTGGCCACGAAGAATTCTTGTGGCGGCAAGAAATGTACTTGTGGCGGCAAGAAATGTACTAACGGCGATTTCCCTTGTGAATGACCAATCCTGCTGCTGCTGCTGCTGCAGGTGAACGACCTCATCGGAGCGGCGAAGTCGTACGGCACGCTGAACGACATCCTGGACAAAGACGTCGAGAACGACTGCGTCAAGAAGCAGGGCAGCCACTCCCGCAACCTGCGCAGGGTCCGCCTCGGCCTCGGCCTCATCAAGGTTCTCTTCGAGCAGTTCCTCTCCACCCAGTACGTCGCCTCCCTCTCACCCAAGCACACCATATTTTTTTTCAATTCGAAATGAAATCTGAAGCATATCAGGCGATTCCAGGACAGTCTGAAACTTGTCTCGTACCAATAAATATTCATCAACTTGTTCATTGTGCCTTTTGTCCTCCTCTGAGGCAAGGCTGGCCGGCGACAATTGTTAGTACTACATATACATTCAGATTCAGCCGATGGTGGCTAAGTTGGTAGAATTATTGGCCAGTTGGCATCCGTAACTCATATAAGACACAGTTGACAGGTAGTTCTGTTCTGCTCTAATGGACGACAGCTTACGGCCTTTCTGGCATTCATTTTTTTTCTTTTCTGCAGGGAATGTTCGCTGTATGATGCTGCTACGACAGCTTACGGGCAGGTTTGCGCGCCGTTTCACAGCTGGGCGGTCAGGAAGGCTGTTGGTGCTGGGATGTACACTCTTCCAAGCAGGGAGCAGCTGATCGTGAGGCTCAACGAAACTGGTACGCAAAAATGCGACATCCCTGAATGTTGTTTGTCAGGAATTTAAATGAGTATTTCTCCTTTGGGTGAAGATCTTTCTGCGTTCTTGTGATTTTAAATGGTGCTGTGTTGCTACTGCAGATTGCTCCGTGCAGAAGGAGATGAGGAGATACATCGATGCCTCTAGCCCTATCATAGACTACATCGACAACCTTTTCCTCTCGAGGAGCATTAGCCTAGACTGGTGAAACTGAACTGGAGTTCATATTTGCAGCTGCTGACAAAGCTGTCGTTGATGCCATTGTTTTGTTCTTTTCATAGCTATTATGTAGCCTTGGGTGTGGTTGTCTGGTGGATGCTCACCCTGACTCCCTTCGCAGAGTCATGTGTAATGTATAACTGTATGGTGATTCAGTACGATCATGGATAACCTGTTTTGCCAGCGATTGGGCACAGAGGAATGGTGGTTGGATGGTGCTATGTGAAAATTATGTGTGTTGCGATTATCTCTTTTTAAATTAAGTGGTATTTGAGAAACTATTGATGCCTTTTTTTTTCTTGAAGAAGTTTATCTAAATCTTATCATAAACGTCAAATATACCAGAGACAAAAATATATATTATCAGGGCATGAAACTAAAATATTATCATGTCTAGGGCTTCTTTGGAACACATTGTTTTTATAGAAAATTCGTAGGATTAAATTCCTATAGGAATTTTTCTGAGCCCTTCCATTTGGAGGATTTGCTAGAAAAATTGCATATGAATCCTTTTTTCCTCTATATTTTGGGGAATTTCAAACATGAGCCCAAACCTCTTGGTTTTGGTTTCCTTTTGGAAGTCCAATGCATCATCTCTCCTTTCAAGTCTAATCTTGATAATATTCTTCCTCTAAAATTCCTACAATACATGTTCGACATATTCTTGTGGATTACATATATTATCACTTTCTATTCCTACATTTTTAAATTATTGCAATTTAAAGGAGCCCTTAGAATCACAATTTTTTATAATCATTCTTCCAATCATGATTTAAAAAATATAAGCACAAATATAATTAGAACGATTTAATACGTCCCTCACCCCCCTCGCGGGCCGCATCAACAGTAGTAAAGGAGGGAGCGTGTCGAGGGGAGAGAGGGAGAACAGGAGAGGAGTGAGAAGAGGAGAGGAGAAATCGGTGGTAAATGGTTCACTGGCTGGTTAGGAAGTGACAACCCGCGCTTCCTCCTCGTGGCATGATACCTGATACCTAGTACTTGGCACCTAATACCTATGGGTATCGGCTGATACCTGGCTATCAAGTCTGATACCAGTGGGTATCAGGCTTGATACCTCGAGGTATCAAGGATGATACCCGAGGTATCATGCTTGATACCTAGTACCTGACACCTGAGGTATCAGGCCTGGTACCCGGTATCAACTGAGGATGACGTACCTGCAAACAATGGAGACGAGCAGCGAGGAGCACAGTGCGGCAAGCTCGAGACGCGTAGGAAGCACCTTGTCGTCAGTGCACTGGTCCTCGCGCGTCCCCCTCACTCTCAGCCTTGCATTCTCTCCTCTTCTCCGTCCTCAACGAAGACAACGCCGATCTTGCTGTCGCAATGACCTTCCGCTTGCTGACGTCACCAATTTCCCGATGGCCCCATGACCTCGCCGATCTCTCTCACCGATGTCCAATCTGGTGTATGAAGGGGGGAGGAGGATGAAGGACGCCTTAGGGTTAGGAACGACGTCAATTGGTTCTCCGGTGACCGGACATGGGATCGATATGGGTTGGAGGAGTCGGGGAAGGGAGGGAGGTGGAGGATGGCGATCAGCTCAGGGAAAGATGGGGAAGAAAACGGATCTGAGAAATGGATCTGGAAAACAGTCGTGCTCTATTATATTGAGTCATTCCGTTAGAACGGGAGACCGTTCTATAGTTTTTCTGGTATATTTAAGGAAGGAAGAATGAACTCTTCAACGTAAGCACTATATTTATATTATGGTAATAAATCTATCCTCTCCAATCATAAATCCTTGATGTTTTGAATTAGGTCTAGTCAAACTCTAAAATTTTTAACCACTAATGAATTTTACAGTAGTTTAAAAACATAAAAATAACATGTTAGATTTGTTTATTGAAAAATATTTCTATTGGGCCATCTTACAAACTTATTGCATTAAACAAACCTATTTTGATAAAAAAAATTGCTACATCCGTTTCATATTATAATTCGTTTTAACTTTTTTTTTAAAAGTCAAGTTTCTTTAGCTTTGATCAATGTTAGATTTAATAAAATTGATTTGGTGGTGTATATATATATATATATATATATATATATATATATATATATATATATATATATATTCTATAAACCTGGTAGAAGTTTTAAGAAGAATGGTTTAAAAATAAGGAAAAATGACTTATAATATGAAATAGAGAGGGTACTTTAATTATACAAGTACCTAAATCACCGAATGTCATATAATTTTGTCTCTTTTGAAATGGAGTACCAGACAAAACTAGCTCATGATTTTTTTTCGGCGAAATCTAATGCAGTAACACCCGAGTTTCTTCATGGCTTTTAGCGCTCCTGCTACACGACTGAAACGATGAAAAACGAAAAATAGAGAAGCGGAACTAGAAAACAAAAGGAGAAAAAGAAAAAATGAAAATCTTATCTCATCTCCCTCTCACTCCCAGCCCTCACAGATCCTGAGAAGCGTCGACAGCCAGTAGGAAGAGGAGTTGCTCGCAGCAGCAGCTCCAGCCTCTCGAGCCTCCACGTCACATCGCCGGCGCCGGCTCATGTCTCTCCTCACCTCGCCCACGCCGTTCGGCGGCGCGGCCGTCCGCCGCCGCGCCCCTCCCGCTTCCGCCGCCGCGGCGACCCGGCTCGACCTCCCGCTGGTGGGCAGCCGGGCCGCGCTGCACGTGGCGCGCGCGCGCAGAGGCGGCGTCTCGTCCCGCACGCAGCGGCGCCTGGAGGAGCGCGGCAAGAATAAGCGCCGGGGAGGCGGTAGCGTCACGGCGCCCGCGCCGCCCGACATGGACGAGGACGCCGCCGCCGGGGAAGGGGTGGACTGGGAAGGGGAGCCGCTGGGGTTCGAGGTGTCGACGACGCCGATGCCCGAGCTGCCGGACCCGGAGAAGCCCGACTTCTGGGAGGGGCCCCAGTGGGACGCCCTCGGCTTCTTCGTGCAGTACATGTGGGCGTTCGGCGTCTTCTTCGGCGTGAGCACCTCCTCCTCCTCCTCCTCCTCCTCCTCCTCCATTACTTTGCCGCTTTACTGCAGTTGATGCGTTTTGTGCACTGCTGTTGGGAAACTAGTAACTTGTTATCAATAATCCATGCTCAAGTGCTCAGAAGTAAATCTTTAGCTTGGTGCAGTTAGTGAAACTTAGATTTCAGCTAATTGATACGCTTCTATTCTGAAACTTCAAAATGTGCAATTGTGCAAAAAGGAAATCTGCATGCGACAAAACCTTCGATAATGGAAGTACAACTTCCGGACAAGCCCTTCAATGTGATGAGAAGAGATGCCATGGCACTGTCCGGGGCTGAAGTTACAAGTTTCAAATTTTAGAGTGATTGTATGAGCTTGATGTTCCAACTAAAATATAGAGTATCAGACATCATACTCATTCAAATTCATTTACGGTCATTCATATGTAAGATTTGATCTTTAATATATTGACGCACAAAGCTTTTGCGCCTTCTAAAAATATATATAGGATTTGATCGCATTGCTTGTTAGCACTTAGCACACTGATTACTTGCCACAAGTGATTCCATTGCAGTGTCTAGTCATCTAGTGGATGGAAAAGAAAGTGTGTGTTGCTCGGTTGCTGAATACATTTATTTCAATAGTGGAAATAAATCAGCCGCTGAATACATGAAGTTATTTCTTTACATGCTATTTAGCAAGACATCATCTGACATTTCTTAATTGAGTTAAACTGATGATAGCACCTGGTGCTTTTTCATTGACACGCATCAGTTCAACATTATTCTCAGCATGTCTCCGCCTGATCTGCAGAGATAACTTTGCATGCCATTCCATCCTCTTACCATCAATTGATCGATTATATTCATGTTATCTCTCGAGGACCTGATAAAATTACAATTGTATGTTGGTTCTCACTTTGTATCTGTTGACCTTGCATACTTTTGCAGCTGGTTGCATGTGGGTTCGCTGTGGCAACGTATAACGAAGGAGCGACAGACTTCAGAGAAACTCCTTCCTACAAGGAATCGGTCCAAACACAGGAGTTCCCGGAAGAGTCAGAATCATCAGGCTCTGATGTGTTTGAAGGTAACCCAACCGAGGTGGCACCGGCTCTTGAGTAGGACGTCGGGAAGACATCGGAAATGGAAAAATGAAGGTTGGCTATTGGAGCTATAGGGTTCTACAAGTCAGCAAGACATGTACGTGATGGTACAAGAACAAGATTCACTCAGCTGGAAAGGGGTAGTTTTTATGATAATTAGCTGGCGATTATTGTGTACTAAATTTCCCCTGGATGATCCTATGTTGGAGATCAGAAAACAAGAATATAGATGATAGCGGTATGAAATTCAGCAGTGGGTTTTATTCATGCTTGTTGTGCCTGAATGATTTGCATACTTCAACTGAAAGGGGCTCAGTCAACGAAGCATGTATACTCTGTAGTCTCTCCAGATTTTTTTTAAAAAATGTCGATTTAGAAAAAAAAAATTGTTTTAGACGAGAACACGGTATCCTAAAAATGACTCTGAATATATGTAGGGCTATTAATAAATATATATGATTATACTGAAGTAATTTTCAAGATTAATCTATACATATTATCCTATGTTTTTAAAGTAGATATTATTTATAGACAATTTTTAAATGTTTAATATAGTTTAAAAGACAATTATTTTCAAAGTAATTTCCTACTAATTATCGAAAGAATCTGGCAAATCTCCTTCTATACGAAGTGCTTCCGCAGCCGCTGTAGTCACCTGCAGAATCCAATGCAACATTTCGGCGACAGCAACAAAGCAGTCTCGGTTTCTGTTTCAATTCTTGCGAATTCAAGAACTGCATCAGTTTTCAGTCCGTGCGGCTCGTGTATTGCGCGTATCGACTACTACCAAACTCCCAACCAGTAATGAATTGCATCACCCAGTTACCCCATGAGACCGAGGATCACCGGGAGCAGAGTTAATTCCCGCCAACGCAGGCAACCGTAAAGCTGACGACGAGGGACACAAACACGCATGAGAACGCTGCTCTTCTCCATTCCCAGGCTATTGGCTTTACTTTTCATGACCCGGCAAGCCGAAAGACGGCGAGGCGCGCGCTAGCTGCGTCACGCGATCCATGGCGCGGTGGTTGCGCACGAGAAAGCTAACGCGTGGCGAACCTGTATATGTAGTGGGGCGCCGGCCGCCGCCGCCGCCGAGACGCCCGGGAAGAGCAGCCGAACACACGCTGCTGCGACTCCTCTGTGGCGGCTGCGCGCGCTCGCTCGCTGTGACGACGATGATCGCGGAGAGCGCGGCGCAGGTGGTGTCCCTGCTGGCTCCCCTGCTCGTCGTGGTGCTCGTTGCGGCGGTGCTCGCGTCGGCGTCGGGGGCTGGGAGCGCGCGGGAACGGGAGGAGGCCGAGGCGGAGGCGGAGGCGCGGGCAAGGGAGTGGGCGCGGTTCGTGTTCGGCCCGGAGGCCGACGACGAGCGCGCGCCCCCGCCGCCGAGCCGCCGGGTCCTCGTGGTGGCGCGCCATGACGGGTGCGGTTGAGCACGCGACGCGAGTTGCCTTGGCCACGCGGCCGCAGATGCATATGTGTAGATGTCGGTGTGCGTGAGTGCGTCCTCGTCATCTCGTGTGTCGGATCGAGTATTACGGATCCAAGATTGTTGCAACTTGCTGGCGTGTTAGCTCGAGCAAGTTAGCTAATTGTATTACGTGGGCCCGTGTAAGTGTAGGAGCAAACACAAAGTTATCGTAGTGGGAGGCTTGCATTTCGTTAATCCTCTAGCTGATGAACAGCTTAGAGACTTAGATAGGGATACCTCAAAATTTGTCCATTGATGCATTCCAGATAAGATTAATGGTAATTAAAACACAAAAAAGATTAGTGTCTAATGATAAGAGATTAAGAGATCCGTTTACACTTCACAACATCTTTCCTTTCTGAAGTGGCGGACACTATACATGGAGCAGCGAAAATGCTCTACAGCTCATTCACGTCGTCGTCGTCTCCGGCGCCGGCCGACGCGTCGCCGCTCTTCTTGTAGACCTGCTTGATGATCGGGCCGCACACCTGCTCCACCTCCTTCAGCTTCTCCTCGTAGTCCTCCTTCTCCGCCGTCCGTGCGCCGCCGTCGTTGTCCTCCAGCCACTCCAGAGCCTCCGTCAGGGCGGACTCCATCCTCTCCCTGTCGTCGTCGCCGATCTTGCCGGCCATGCCGCCGTCCCGCACGGCGCTCCGCATGCGGTACACGTAGTTCTCGAGGCGGTTGCGCGCGTCGACGCGCTCCCGGACGCGGCGGTCCTCCTCCGCGAACTCCTCGGCCTCGCGCACCATCCGGTCGATCTCCTCCTGGCTGAGCCGGCCCTTGTCGTTGGTGATGGTGATCGACTTGGACCGCCCCGCCGCCTTGTCCGACGCCGTCACGTGCAGGATGCCGTTCTCGTCGACCTCGAACGTCACCTCGATCTGCGGCACGCCGCGCGGCGCCGGCGCAATCCCGGACAGGTCGAACCGCCCCAGCTCGCGGCAGTCCTTCGTCAAGCTCCGCTCGCCCTCGAAAACCTGAAAAAGAAATTCAGAGCTTCGTCAGTCTCAAGAACTGAAGAATCAATGTTATCAGGTCAATGCACGAGCTGAAATGTGCTTACCTTGATCGAGACCGTGGTCTGGTGATCCTCGTAGGTCGTGAAGACCTGCGACTTCTTCACCGGGATCCTCGTGTTCCGGGGGATCAGCTTGGTCATCACGCCGCCGGCGGTCTCGATCCCGAGCGTCAATGGCGTCACGTCGAGCAGCAAGATGTCTGGTCACCAAGAACAGCAATGTGTGAGGAGGACTCATGGCGTGACCAGCCGAACACGCTGGTAATTCAAACGCATTTGCGTTACCTTTGGTCTCGGCGCCGCCCTCGCCGCTGATGATGCTGCCCTGGACGGCGGCGCCATAGGCGACAGCCTCGTCGGGGTTGATCCCCTTGGTTGGCTCCTTGCCGTCGAACATCTCCTTGAGGAGCTCCTGCACCTTGGGGATCCTGGTGCTGCCGCCGACGAGGACGATCTCGTCGATGTCGGACTTCTTGAGCTTGGCGTCGGCGATGGCCTTCCGGACAGGTCCCAGCGTCTTCTTGAACAGGTCCATGTTGAGCTCCTCGAACTTGGCCCTCGTCAGCGTCTCCGAGAAGTCGACGCCGACGAACAGCGCCTCGATCTCGACGCGGACCTGGTGCTGTCTGCTGAGCGCGCGCTTGGCGCGCTCGCACTCGCGGCGGAGCTTGCCGAGCGCGCGGCCGTCGCCGCCGATGTCCCTGCCGTGCTGCCGCTTGACGAGGCGGATGAAGTGGTCCATGACGCGGCGGTCGAAGTCCTCGCCGCCGAGGTGCGTGTCGCCGCTGGTGGCGAGCACCTCGAACACGCCGTGGTCGAGGCTCAGCACGCTCACGTCGAACGTCCCGCCGCCGAGGTCGTACACCAGCACGTTCGTCATCTCCCCCGCCCCCTTCCTGTCGAGCCCGTACGCGATCGCCGCCGCCGTCGGCTCGTTGATGATCCGCGGCACGTTCAGCCCGGCGATCGTGCCGGCGTCCTTGGTCGCCTGCCTCTGCGCGTCGTTGAAGTACGCTGCAAATCAAGCAGAGCACACTTAGCATAAGTCGTCGTCGTCGTCAACCTCTGGAGCGGCGGCCAGAAGCTTTCGCATTACAAACCAGGCACGGTGACGACGGCGTCGGTGACGCGCTGGCCGAGGTAGGACTCGGCTGTCTCCTTCATCTTGGCGAGGATCATGGCGCTGATCTCCTCGGGGCTGAACACCTTCACCTCGCCGGCCTTGACCCGCACCTCGACGTACGGCTTCCCGCCCTTGTCCACCACCTTGTACGGGAGATACTTCACGTCTCGCTGCACCTCCTCGTCGTCGAACCTGCCGGCGACAGGCCGGAAAAATCCACCCAAATCAATCAATCAACCACGGCTAGCTTCTCCATTTGCATCGAGAGAGCTCAGGAAGAAGAAGAAAAGCTAGTGAGGAACATTTACCTACGGCCGATGAGGCGCTTGATGTCGAAGATGGTGCGGTCCGGGTTGAGCGCCGCCTGGTTCTTGGCGGCCTCGCCGACGAGGCGCTCGTCGTCGGTGAACGCCACCCACGACGGCGTGATCCGGTTGCCCTGGTCGTTGGCGACGATGTCCACGTGGCCGTTCCGGTACACCCCCACGCACGAGTAGGTCGTCCCGAGGTCGATGCCGATCACCGGCCCTTTCGTCTTCCTCCCTCCCTTCGCCCCATCTGCAACTCCGCACAAACACCCTACAGGAACCAAAAAAAAAAAGAAGTAAAAAACCGATCAAATTTGAGCACATTGCAAATTTTGAAAACAAATCAAACCAAGCATCATTCCATGGTGCTTACCTGAACAGAGGAGTACGAACGCTGCGACGATTAAAGCAGATTGCTTATCTCTCGCCATGTTTCTTGCTCTGCTCATGCAACACTTGTCTCTACGATGTGCGATTTGGTGAAGCTGTGTAATGGAGTATCTAGTCGGTCTGTGTTCGGACGTCCATTTTCCCAACTTATCTCCCTCGTTTTCCGCGCGCACGCTTTTTAAACTGCTAAACGGTGTTTTTTTTGCAAAAAGTTTCTATACAAAAGTTGCTTAAAAAAATCAAATTAATCCATTTTTGAAAAAAATAGCTAATATTTAATTAATCACGTGCTAATGGATCGCTCCGTTTTCCGTGCTATTGGGAACAACCCATAGCGAACACAGCCTTAGGCTTGGAGAATGATCGTGATCGGTCGATGCTTGCTGTACATGCGGGGGGCTTAAATAGGTTCTGGATTATGGTGAGGAGATCGGAGTAGGACTCGCCGGAGTGTTCTGGCCCTGTACGAGCTCCACATCACAAGGCACCGTGAAAACGGTCCACGTGAGGGGTCCAATCGTGGGTGGACACGTAGCGGGGTGGTCTTGGTCTTGGTTTGGTCAGGTCCAGCGATCTAGCCAGAACGTTCGTGTCGCGAGTCACCGACAAGTCTCAGCTCCGTCATGGCATGGGCTGTTCAGTGGGTTGGCTGGATGGTCTGCCTAACTGGGCCAAGGATTTTAGACCGTGGAAAGGAAGGAATCTCTTTTTGTCTCTCTCTCTCTCTTTTGACTCACGCCACTGCGTCCCTCGTGTTGTGTCGCCCCTTGGGAGAGAGCTGAGGAGAATCGGATGTAACATTTTCTGTAGATGTCCGTGGATATATCATTTGCCTGATTCCGAGTCCGTATGAGAAAGTTACGCCTATTTTAAGAAATGACACCCGAATGACGCCTAGGCATGTCGGATAAGTTCACTTTGGGTCCCTCTATTTGTCACCCAGTCTGATTTTCGTCCCTTGATCGCAAAACCGGGTACAACAGGTCCCCCAACTTACGAAACCGTTTAAATAAGTTCCCTCGGAAGAATTTGACCCCGGTTTTGGCTGAGGTGGCACCTACGTGGCTAATTTGACTCGGTCTTCATCTGACGTGGCATTGACGTGACGCTTATGTGGCAATTTGATCCGAAAAATATTAAAAACTATGGGATCCACATGACAGTTTCACACACAATAATTAAAAAAAATGGTGGGGCCCACGTGGACCCCACCTGTCATCCTCACTACCCTCTCTCTCTATATCCTCTCTCCTTCCTCTCTCTCTCTCTCCTCTTCTCCGCCACCTTCTTCTCCGTCGCTTCGCCACTATCCGTGTCGCCGCCGCCGACCACCCAGACACCCTCCGCGCACCGGGACGGCATCGCCGAGTGCCTCTACGCCGCGCTCGTCGTCCTCCAGCCGCCGCTCCACAAGCTACCTGCCGCCTCTCAAGTCTCAGCTCCGTCGCCGCCCCTGTGCGCCTTCCGTCGCCACTCACCATTCTCAGGGAGAGAGAGGGGGGATAGAGAGAAGAGGAAGGAGAGAGGATAGAGAGAGAGGGATAGAGAGAAGGGGATAGCGAGAACTGCGCCGGAGAAGAAGGTGGCGGCGGGCCGCGGCAGCGCCCGGGGCGGACCCAACAAGGAAGTCTTCCTCCTCGTCGTCGCTGGACTGCACGAAAGCGAGGCGACGAGGCCGAATATGGCGAGCATCTCGGCAAGCAGCGCCTTGGGCCTCCCCATGGCGGCCTACACGAATGCCACCGCCGCGGTGCTGTTCGACGACGCGGCGTCCCTCTACCCCACTGCAGCGTCCGCCGCCGCTGAGACGGCGTCCCCGGCGGCGGCGAAGGTGGCCGCCACGGCCCTCTCGACGGCTGCTCTGATGGCGCAGAGGAGGAGGCAGCTGAGGTAGCCCGGGAGCTGGACCAGCATGAGCAGGAGCACGACAGCCATGGCGGCGCCCTTGAACACCACCGCGGACGAGTAGGCGATCACCGTGCTCAGCCCTGTGATGAACAGCTTCGCCATGGCCATTGCCATCGATCGCCTCTTGTCTCTGTTGTTCTTTTGCCTGAACACGACGTGTTCTTGAGATTTTTTGATGAAAATTTGTTGAACACATAATGTATGTTCTTGAGATTGAGCAGGGAGAAGAGATCAAAGAGGAAGAGATATGAATTTGTTTGGTCGATTGGTTGTGCCATCGATTTGGTTGCCACTTTGAGTGGTAGAGCACGCATTAGACTGGTCGTTTGCGACGTTTGTTTATGACAATGTACTACCTCGTGCAGAATGGTTCAGAGTTCAGTGTTCTAGTGTTCCTCTCAAGCTGTCTTTGCAGTTTGTATCATCATTGAATGTTTATTATATGTTCAAGTCAACTCCCCATCTCTCTGCGCTGGCGGGAGAGGAGGGAGCGACTCACGCGCGCTCGCCGGTAGACCAGGGAGCTCGCCTAGCCATCCGCCGCCCTTCTAGCTCGCTGGCGGGAGAGGAGGGAGCTCGGCATGGCTCTAGCGCGGCGTAGGCGGCGGGAGGACGACAAGCGCGGTGTAGAAGCGCTCGGCGATGCCGTCCTGGCGCGCGTGGAGGTCGGCGGCATCGATGGCATCTTCCAGGGCGCCGACCACGCCCACCGCCGCTGCCGGAGCTCGCCTGCTCCACCGTCCACCCGCGCCGTCCTCTGCCCGGGAAGAAGAGAGAGAGAGGAAAGGGAACAAGAGAGAGAAGGGAGAGGGAAGAAGAGAGGAGTGATGCTGACATATGGGGCCCACATGGCCCCACCATTTTAAAGTTATTTCTTTTTGCAGCTGACATGTGGGGCCACACTTTTTATTATTTTGCTGAGATATAGTTGCCACGTAAGCGCCACGTCAATGCTACGTGGGACGGAGACCTAATCAAACAAGCCACGTATGCGCCACGTCAGCCAAAACCGCCTTTAAAACCGCCGAGGGACCATGTTTCCCCGGTTTTCGTAAGTTGGGGGACGGGTCATACCCAGTTTTGCGGTCAAGGGACGAAAATCGGTCTGGGCGACAAATAGAGGGACCCAAAGTGAACTTATTCCGGAAAGGAAACAATGGCCCAAGCCAATGGTTCCCTTGCTTTCTAAGAAGTCCGTTTGAACGTGAAATTTTTGAAGGATTTTGTACGATTCGAACTATTTTTATATAAAATAATCTTAAGGATCTCTGCGTTTCAATTATCAAAGAACCTCCCAATTTCATTTTTCGAATCGAACTATTTGAAATCTCCCCAAATCTGTAAGCTCGAAGGGAGGCCTCACCGCCTCAATCCTCATCCGTGTCTAACTCGAACGGTCTGCTCCAATCGACCGTTCCTCCTACAAAACGGTGGCCGAATTGATCACGAGGGGAATTCGTTCCCGGGCTCGATCCGATTCCTTCTTCCAACTCCAAACCAACATACCCTTCCTCGCCGCGGCGCGGGATCCCCTCCTCCTCCGTACCAAACCCTAGCCCTAGCTGGTTCCCTCGGGTCTCCATGGCCAGCGAGGAGGCCGCCCGCTCGCACCTCTCCCCGCGCAAGCACCGCCGCTCGCCGCACGACGACGACGACGCGGAGGACGGCGCCTCCTCCCCGAAGCGCCACAAGCGCGGCCACCATCGCCACCGCCATAGGGTCTCGCCGGCTGCGGCGGATCCGGCGGAGGGCGAGGCCGAGGACGGTGAGATACTAGACCAGGCCACCGCGGCCGTGGGTGTGGGTGTGGGGAGGGGGCTGGATGCTGATGCCGGTGAGACGGGCTCAGTGCAAGGTGTTCTACCTGCTCCGGTCTGTTCCAAGCCCCCCATCCATTTTGTTGCCGTTGGTTATAGGTTATTTTCGTTACCCCTTGATCCTTTGTTCCGGAGTTCTTAATTTTCATGTGAATTTGGGCGAATTTTGCTCTGTTTTGTTCTGGACTTAATCGTACACAAAGCGCGTAGGGTATGGCGGTATGCTGTTGTTAGCGATAGGAATACGAGTCATAGGACGAACAATTTTGGAGGTAGAGTTTATATTAAGGAAGCAACTAACAAGCAATGAAGGCATGCTCGATCACCTATTCATTTGTGTTTTGTTATCATTTGTCAGAGCACAGGCAAGACCACCCTAGGAAATAGGAACTAAAACAATCAAATTTAATTTAACTTTTGTGAAGAACATGTCTGCATTTGTTACTTATCAACGAAGTCTTTTACTTATAACTTTTATTAGTAACATATGCCTCAGTCTTTGTGGGTAGATGGCATGCACTTTTTTTTGTCCTGAGTTAAAATTAAACACAATTGTTAATTTAATCTAAACTAATTTGTAAGCAATAAGCTAATCTAGCTTGCCATGATTGTTAATTCACGTCCTGTATGAACTATGAATAAGGGAATAACTTTTGTGTAACAGGAATTCAAAGTACTGTATGTCTCACCGCAGCCTATTCTGTTCTTCTATTGCCACATTGATGCAACTTTTAATATTCACTGGTTTGCAAAAAAAAAAAGTAATTTTAGGCATGTCTGAATTATTATAGACTCCACTGCGCTGCTGATAGCAAATGTTTACCTGAAAGAAGCTCCAAGCTTCCTGACATAAAGCTTGAACTGCTTACGAACAAATTTGTAGTATCATAATCAATGAACATTGTGTTAAGGAGGGAGATCTCCCTTGCTTCCTTTTTTACTGGTCACGTCGTGCTTTTGAATTTTCTCTTCTATGGTGACTTACATTTTAATTCATTTCTAATACAGGAGCATGGTGATAACTCCGATGCAGACTTGAATATACATGTAAATGAGTTGCATACCTCCCAGCTAGCTAGAAACCCATCTCAAGAGCATGATTATCCAGCAAAGTCAGATCATGCTGCTCATGAAGCCATTGTGGAATATCATTCTAGAAGATCTCCTGGCTCAAGAAACCATAATGAAGCTCATTCCAAGGACTGCTTACGATCCTGTCATGCTAGCAGAGAAACTGGCTTTCAAACTGATGGCTCAAGAAACAGTGTGAGGCTTGATTATGAACATGGGATTGATGACAGACATGGTGAGCCGGATAGGTATTCAAACAGGAGGTGGGAGACTGAAGAAAGAGGGTGCTATAAGAAAAGGAAAAAGAGTGGCTGTCACATTGGTAGGCACACTGACATCTGTAATAGCGAGGAAAAACACCTGGACGAGAGAAAACATGGCAGTTTGGTAGAAAAGAAAGTTGATTTGCATGGCCTTGCTTATCATGAGAGACGAAGTGGCGATGGTAGATTTGATCAAAAGGCGAGTGCACATCATGGGCATGGAGAAGGTAGGGAGATGGATAGATGGAATAGTAGCACAAGGAAGAAAGACGAAGAATGGAGAAATCGGAAAAATGATACGGCTAGGAACAGTTACAAAGAAACAGATAGAGTTGGCAGTAGATATGGAGAGGAGAAACTCAATGATAGTATAGATAAGAGAGATAAGAGAGGCTTTAGGGGTAAGGAAATGGATGCTTGTTGGTCTAGAGCAGTAAATGGGAACGAAGGGAGTATCAGCTACACGCATGCAAACTATGGTATGTCTGGCATTTACAAAGATGGATCAAGCTTTGGTGGGGATGATACAAAGGCCAAATGCAAAAGGAGACCTGAAGAAGAGAAGAAAGAACCTTACAGGTGAGGTTTCTCATATGATTAACTCGTATATCATATTTGTTAACTTTAGTTGCTTTATTTTTTTTAGTAAATCATCTTCAAACTATGTCAGGGAGGAAGATGAAGAGAACTACCTGGAGAACATCGAGGATCGGAAGCAACAGGAAAAATCTGCTCATTACATTGACAATAAAGGTAACATATTTCCCTAAACTGTCATTTGGATTTAAATTACTGCCCCACACCCTTCTTTTCTTTTTATAAGGCTTATCTTGATTAATGATTAAGGAGAGGAAACCATGTGAGAGATATTCGAATGACTATGCTGTTTGTACCTGAATGTCTTGGAAATAGGAAAGATAATGGTCAGTGATCAATGTAAAATAAAGAATATGTGATAAATGAGTGTAAACAAGGAATGTAAGTAATAGATTCACACAGTGCCTTGTATGTTTGAAATGAGATTGAAGAAACTATATGCCTTATAAAAAGAAACAGTGGGAGTTTTTCTCTGTTGTTTAAAAGGTGTTCAAGTTTTGTTAACCAATTTTTTTGAATGACAGAAATAAACAATGATCCTGCTGCTACAAAACAGAGATCGAACAATTTAAGAGCCAAGGAAGATATTACAAATGATCATGAATTATCAAATGTATTTGTCGGTGCAAAATTCTACAATGTGAGGAAGTCTCCTACTTTGCCTAAAATTTCAATCAGCTTAGGGACATCAGATAATAAAAGGGCGACAAGTGCTTCAGGTCTTCAGGAGGGAAGCTCGAGGATATCACATAATAAAAGGACGACAAGTGCTTCAGGTCTTCAGGAGGGTATTCCCATGGTAAATGATATTTCTCGTTAAGTTGATTGTTTGTTTAGAATTCTGATGGTAATCGTAACACTAGATCATCCAGAAATTTTACTTGGAATCTTTGATATTTCCACAGAGAGGTAAACAAGTTATTCTTGGCAACGTTATTGATGGAGAACAACCTATTGATCGCAAGCTGGTACGTTCTTACTACTTGTACTTCTGAATAATAACAATTGTTACTACTTACTTCAACAAAAAATTCTTCAAATATTTTTTTCTATTTGCCCCCTTTGTATTTTATGTTATTGCCAAAGTTATCCCATTTACTTTAACTTTTGTGCTCAACTATTTTGTGTTTTGTAGGGCAATGAAAACAGTATGCTTGCCAAGAAAAACACTCTTCATGACAACTGGGAAGATGAAGAGGGATATTACAGTAAGTACTGACTTCTATTTATACCTTATCAATCTTGCAGCTTCTCAAGTTATATACTGGTTTGTTCTATATTATTTGACTTATTTTTGGGGGCAATTTTACAGTTTATCATTTTGGAGAAGTGCTACAGGGCCGTTATGAAATTACAGCACGCCGTGGGAAAGGAGTTTTCTCGACTGTTGTTCATGCGAAGGATCTTAAAGCTCAAAAGGATGGATGTAGAGAAGTAGCTATCAAAATTATATGCAACAATATTGAAAAGTAAGTCTTTGAAATTATTCATTATTTGTGGCAATATATCTAATAGAGAGAAGAGTACCATCTGACCTTGGGCATTCACTATACAGGTACAGGTCTGGTAAGAGGGAAATTTCTATATTGGAAAAATTGGGAACTGCAGATCGTGAAGACAAACAACACTGTGTGCGGATTATTTCTAGTTTTATGCATCAAAATCATCTGTGTTTAGTTCTTGAATCTCTTCATATGAATCTTCGTGAGGTTATAAAGAAATTTGGTCATGGCACTGGGCTTAAACTGACTGCTGTAAGGGCGTACACAAAGCATATTTTTATCGCGTTGAAGCATCTAAGACACTGTGGTGTTCTCCACTGTGACATTAAACCAGACAATATACTGGTATGTAATCTTGCTGAGTATCATAGTCTACTCTTATTGTTTTCCTGGACAAATTATGACTAGTTTTATGTACTTGATGACCGAGAAAGGAAAAGGCTAAAAATGACTTACACCCCCTTTTCTTTTGTATATATGGTAGAAGAATTATTTAGCATAGCTTTTTTGATGTTTGTCATTTTGTAGGTAAATAAAGATAACAATTTGCTGAAGCTGTGTGACTTCGGTAGTGCTATGTCTGCTGGAAATAATGAGATCACACCGTATCTTGTGAGCCGCTTCTACCGGGCACCTGAAATAAGTGAGTTACATACTTGTTCAGTGTTCCTTATTTGACTATCTTTCTTGACTTCGACACTGTTTTCTTTTGCAGTCAAACTCAAAACAAATCCCCTCTTTTTCAATGCTTGGTTTCTTAATGGTTTGCAGACAGATTAGTGATTTCTTGTTCTTCCTGCAGTTCTTGGGTTGCCTTATGATCATCCACTGGATATGTGGTCAGCTGGGTGCTGCTTATCTGAACTTAAACAGGAAAAATCTTATTTGATGGTTCAACGAACAATGACATGCTTCGCCTTCACATGGAATTGAAGGGCCCCTTCCCTAAGAAGATGCTTCGAAAGGTAAGAATTTATTTAAAAAAAGTTAGATTTCCATTACTTATTTGGATTTCTGTGTATACCGAGAAGATAATATGTATGGTAGTCTGCATATTTGTTTTAGAATATTAAACTGCTCATACAGTCATACTGATGTGTGTTCCTAATTAAACAGGGTGCCTTCACAATGCAACACTTCGACCAGAACTTGAACTTTCTTGCTAGAAAGAAGGATCCTATCACGAAAACGGTACGCCTTTTATTTACACTGACAGTGATAACTTTTTACAATTGTCTGTTAAATAAATTTAATTGTTAATTTTACCTTTATCTGTTGCAGGTTGTGAATAGGTTGCTTTTGAACATTAAACCAAAGGGTGTTGGTTCTGCAATTTCAAGCTGCCCCGGCGATGATCCAAAAATGATTTCCAGCTTCAAAGATCTCCTGGAAAAAATATTTGTGCTAGATCCAAAGAAGAGGATTACTGTGCCAGAAGCACTCAGCCATCCATTCATCACTGGCAAGTGAAATTAGTATTATGATACATCTAGGTGTTCTTCTTGCGCCTTTTTTTTTAACTTAACCAAATAGGGATCTTATAACCTAAAACTTGTCTAATCTGTTGGCATTACTGTCCCTCTGGCGCAGGAGCAGCAATACCCACAGTACTCTGTTATGCCACATACATAATAAGATTGTTCACTTTCGAATTTTTTTTCTGTTTTAATATTTCTTAACTAATCGTACTGAATGAAACACAAGGATGAGAAATTTCATAGCATGGGGCCCTGGAGGCCTCGACCATGGTCATCTCATATTCCCGGTTACCCCTCTCTATATTCTCTAATTAGAACAAGTCTAATTTGCCTCCTCACAGTTGCTAGTTGTCTCCCTCATCCGTAAAATTGGATATGTCTCCCCATCTTCAAAAACCAGTGCAAGTTGACTGTGGTTGACTTGCTAAGTCAGCAGGTGGGGGTCCACATGTTAGGGATCAGAGGAAGGACTTCTCTCCTCCTCTTCTTTGCTCTTCTTCCTCGCGCGAGTGTGACCAGATGAAGCCAGTTGTAGCCGAATGAGTGATGTAGCGATGGCGGGCGGGGTGGATGGTCACCACAGGGCTGGAAACTATAGTTGGCCAACTGGGCTGCTCGGCACGGCACAGCCCAGGCCCGGCCGTGCCTGAGTCGAGGCTAATCGGGCCGGCACGGCCTGACCGACACGCCGGGCCGTGCCGTGCCAGTCCACGGGCTAAATAGTGTGGGCTTCTCAATTTTTTTAAAAAACATAGTGCGGGCCCCACCTGTAAGGCTCTCCTCTCTCTCTCTCCCCCTCTAACCTCTCAATCTCTCTCTACTCTCTCTTCCTAAATCCCCATCCCCTCTCTCTTCCCTCCCCTGATGCAGCGAGCGGCGGCGCCTGGTGGACGACGGTGTGCAGCCATGGGCGGTGAGCGGCAGCCCGGTGGAGGCGAGGGAGGAGAAGGAGGAGTCATTGCTGTTATCGCGCTGCGCGGCTTGGACGGAGGCGAGGTTGGAGCGGTGGAGCTTGGCGACGAGCGCCGTGGAGAGGAACGAAGAGGAGGCGACGGCGGCTGCGCGGCCTCGTTGACATCGTCATGGGGGAAGTTGGTGCGCACGCGCGGGCCAACCAAGAAATCAAACAGCCATGGCCAAGAAACCGCCATGGCGAGGAAAAAACCAAGCAATCACCGTTGCTCGCTGCAGCAGGGAGGGAGGGGAGAGAGAGGGGATGGGGATTTAGGAAGAGAGAGTAGAGAGAGATTGAGAGGTTAGAGGGGAAAGAGAGACGAGAGCCTTACAGGTGAGGCCCACACTATTTTTTTTAAAAAAATTGCTGACTGGACTACCACGTAGGACTGAAACCATCCCGGATTGAGCCAGGGGGGGGTTATTTGTCCGGTTTGCATAATTAAGTGTGTAAAATATCCGTATTCGAGTTTGGGGGGGGGGGGGGTAATTCGATCGCCCATAATAGTTCGGGGGTAATTTGTACTTTTTCCATAAACTATTGATACACATGTATGTTACAAAGACGAGCAAATGCTACTACCTCCGTCCTAAAATATAATAAGTTTTAGGAGTGGATACGATTATTAAGAAAGTAGGTAAAATTAAATGGAGAGAGTTTGTGATTGGTTGAAAAGTGCAGATAGGTGGAAAAATTGAATGATAGAGAATTGTGATTTGTTGGGAAGAGAAAACAAGACATTGATGAAAAGTAGCATAGACTTTGGGAGATATTGCCTTCAGCACCCCTTGACCCTTCTCTTCCTCCCTCTCATCTGCTTTCTCTCTTTAAATTCCGTTTGTGCATAACTGAGATATTGGTCAATCTTCAATCCTAATACATAGGTATATGCGCTTTGCTGGTCATATCCTCAATCCTAATACAAAGATACTCACTTTACGTATAAAAAAATCATCTTCTCTTAAGTTGCCAAACAAGCTGTTAACGGTTGATACTAAGTTTTAAAAAAAATACTAAATGAAACACAACGGTAAGAAAATTGTTAGCATTGGGCCGTCGACCATGGACCGCTCCATGGTGCGTGGGCTTTGATGGGCTTTCACCAAATGTAGCTGCTTCTGGAACCCCGCGCCGCGCCCAAGCGCACCAGCGTTGTCCTTTGGCGGGAAAACCCCAAGGTCACCGATTTCGGTAGGCCCCACCGTGCAGTGACTCTCATCAACAATAGCAAAGGAGTCGCAAAGACCCTCTCCTTTTCATTTCTCCCCCAAACCTTTTCGCCCTTCGCCGGCGGCGGCGGCGGCGGCGGCGCAGCGAGGCGGCGATGCCTCCCAAATCTGATAGCGTCGAAGGTACGTGCCCCGCTCGTACAATCCATCTCCCCATTCTAACCGAAACGGGCTCGAGTTCTAGCTCCCCCGATTTTGCAACAAAACTCGCATCGATTTCGCCTGCTCAATTCCATCGATTGCATCTGACGATCCCTGACGCCCCTGTTCATCCTCTTCTCTCCTTTGCAGGAATCGTCCTCAGCTTCGTCAATGAGGTAACGGCCCCCCTCCTCCAAAACCCCACATGACCACCGGCTAATTTGGCTGCTCTGGTCCTGCCCTGCGCTTGCCCTTGCCTGATTAGATATTTTATGGACTCGGCTAACATGTCATATTGTTATGCGACGGTGATGGGTTTGTTTCAAGTTTTATCTGGTGCCCTGCGCTGCATGATAGTAATAATAATTAATAAATTGCTACACCTTCCATCCCAAAATAGAACACTCTAGAGGTTTTTTTTTTTTTTGTGTGTGTGTGTGTGTGGAGATTAAGGAGATGTGAAGTTAAATGAGGGATGGTTGTGATTGGTCGAGTTGAGAAAGTAAGATAAATAAATTAAACGAGAGATGGTTAGGATTAGTTGAGATGAGTAAGTAGGCGAAGAAGTTGCTAAATTTTGGAAGGGACGGAGACGTTTTTGTTTTGGGAGGGACAGAGAGAGTAACGCATACTCCGTATTGGTTTGTGTTTTGAGGGGTTGTTTCTACTGAGTTACTGTATGTTGGTTCTGAATCTTCTGATCCATGTTAGCTCTGTGAGATGCAAATTGATGATCTACTACTTCAGAGTACGGATTTGTTGAAACCCATGATAATCTGCTTTCTACTATGTGTTCAGATGTGAAACATCGTAGTAACTTAACTAGTCCACTGTTCAGCCATGATATGGTTCGCATGCTCATTGCTAGGACTAAAATCTGCATGTTCTTTGATAAGATTGAAGAGTAATGTTTTGTTGTTACCAAATAAGGCCAACTTTGTTTATTTCCTTTTTTGTTGATTTCAAAAAGGTTCAAGTTTTTCAATAGTATCCTCTCTACTCGGCAGCATCCTTGTGTGGAAACTTTTGTGCGAGGTTGTGTATAAGATTGTGCATAGAAAGAAGGCACTGAGGTGCTTATAAATCGAATCTCTGGCATGTGAGCTTTTTTAGGTGAGTTTTTAGTCTTCACTCCTCATGTAGACTGTTCCTGTCACAGGTTCACAGGGTGTCACTTGCTTTAGGAAGCAATAACCCTGTGTATCGCCAGTATGTTTGCTTAACATATCATCCATTTCCTGAGCAGGACAGCAGATTTTTTCCTCCTTTTGAGTAGAGATAGGACAGAGAAACTATATTTGGCATCTTTTGTATACCACTCTTACCATGATTTGTTCACAATTAACCCTGTTTTACTTGTATGACTAATAAGTTTGCAGCACTTGGACTTTATGAAATAAAAAAGAAGATTTGAGTAAGAGTACAATGTGATCAAATTAGAGGATTTCAAACTCTTTCTAGTATTGTTGTAAAATAAGTCCAATTGTTTCTTTATAAACTTTGTATACTGTCAAGTTGATTATTGCCTTGACTCTTCAGCAAAATAGGCCATTGAATTCTCAGAATGTAGCCGATGCGTTGCAAAAGTTTAGCCTCAAGAAGACCGCAGTGCAAAAGGCATTGGATGCATTGGCTGACAGTGGACAGATTTCCTTCAAGGAGTATGGCAAGCAGAAAATATATCTTGCTCGTCAAGATCAATTCAACATCCCAAATGGGGAAGAACTTGAGGAGATGAAGAAAGCAAATATCAAGCTACAGGAAGAACTTGCGGATCAAAAGAAAGCAATTAGTGAGGTAGAATCTGGTAGGTTCCATTTCATGCTATGATCTTATTGGTGGTTTATTTCAATGCTGAGTGCCATTATCATAGTATGGAAATGTCTAATACAAACCCTATTGCAGAGGTACGAGGTCTGCAGTCAAACTTGACTTTAGCAGAGATCAAGTCAAAGGAAGCTAAATTGCAAAGAGAAGTATGTGCATAAACGTGTTCCGTTATGTATATATGCGATTTTTTTTATCTTTTATGGTTTCAATGTCTTCCTTGTATTAACTTTTAAGAATGGCTGTCTTGTATTTTTGCAGGTCCAGGAAATGGAAGAGAAACTAAATAAATTGAGGAATGGTGTTATCTTGGTGAAACCTGAGGACAAGAAGATTATTGAAGAGAGCTTCTCTGAGAAAGTTAACCAGTGGAGAAAGCGAAAGAGGATGTTCAAGGAGCTATGGGATAATATCACTGAGAATAGCCCTAAAGACCAGAAGGAATTTAAGGTTTTGATGCACTTCTTTCTTTTACATTTACCTGCACTTAGTAGTTAATACACACTAGATGCTTCTCTTAATACAACAGGAAAGATAATTTTTAGTTGTCAGATTTTCTCATTTCTGCCCTGCAAAAAAAGATTGAAAAGTTACCAATTGCTAGCATCCAGCACGGTCATCATTTTAATGAATAATATGTATCTGTGCAGGAAGAGCTTGGTCTCGAGTATGATGAAGATGTCGGTGTTAACTTGCAGTCTTACAGTGACATGCTGACGAGTCTCAGTAAAAGAAGGAAAGTATCCCGCTGATCATCCAGCATGGGAGTTTCTCAAATCAAATGTAGGTTACATGAGAGAAGTTTTACCAGCTACAGGCCTACAGTTCATGAATACTCGTAGTCCAGACCCGGTCATATCTGCTGTTGAAATTTCTAGTTAATGCATATAAGTTAGTAGTATCGCTGCATTAGTTTATTTCCCCAGAGGTAACGAGATTAGAGGAATATTTTGGTCCCAGTTGTTGTAATATAAAATCAATCCATCCTCTAATATATCTACAATCAATGATGAAACCTGCCATCAATATACAATGCTGACTTTTGCTCCCTCCTACTAACCGATGAACAAAATCTGAATCAAGTTTTTTTTTCCTTTTTTTTTGTTTGGCTCCATTTAATTACATGCATGCAATGGCCTACAGGCCTAGGATCTAACGAACGATGAATCTGCAAAAATATAATAGCAGCTGCTAATATCACGAATTCAAGAAATCATCTCCCATCACTCTTGTTGCCATCTGGTTGCAGCTAACTCACCCTCTTTGTTCTGACTGATACCGGCACGCTCCTGGTCAGACCCCGCGGTTTCACCTCGCTCTCTGCAGTGATCTCATGGCGGACCACTTCATCATCCTCAGCTGAATCCTCGATCTCTGAACTGTAGTTCCGGCCGAGGCTGGCACGTCTGATCCTGCCAGATTTCTTGCCATCACCCGAAACCTCGCCGCCGGCGAGCGTCTCTTCGTCGGCCCTGTCGAACTGCGCGCCTCCCGGCCGTCTCCTGTCGTCGTCGCGGCCCCCGGATTCGCCTCGCGAGAGCTCCATGGCGGCCTTCGCGGCGGCCGCTGCGGTGGCCGCCGACTCGAACGCGGCCTGCGCCGCGGCCTCCACGTTCCTGTACCTCGAAGAGCCGTCCTCCTCCAGGTCGACCTGGGGTTGATGGACCCTGTGCCGCCTCTCGCCGTCGCACCGCCGCCTCCTGTGGCTGAGGCCCGAGTCCTCGTCGTGGGAAGAAGGCTCGTGGACGACGTGCACCACGACGCCGGCGATCCCTTTCTCCGCCGCGATCTCCTGGAGCACCATCTGCCTGCTCTCCAGGCTCGGCTGCTTGGTCGACAGCTTCTGCACGATCTGCAACAACCCGTTCGTTCGTTCAGGGCGTCAGTTACACTCGGCTAGTAGGATCAGACAGAAAATTCTGATCAGTCTCGTGCTCCTCACCTTGGCATTGATCCCGCAGCCGCTGCGGAGCTCGGCCGCGGAGGAGACGAACTCCCTGCCGAACTTGGCCGCCATGAGGCGCTTCACCTCCTGCAGCTCCGGCACGTCACCGCACCTCGCCGCCGCGTAGATCAAACCCGCTGCCGCCTCACGCAGCTCCTCGGGACACTCCCTGCTCGAAAGAGACAAAAAAAACACCGGTGATCAGCACGGCGCAAAGCATAGCCAACAGACGCGATGACATCACGGACATGGCTAGCGTTTGATTTTCTTTTTTGTTTTTTGGCGTGTTCCGGTGATGTCCCTCACCTGTGCGAGTCCACGAGGGCGGCGCGCTCGGTGATGAGATTGCAGTAGGACTCGAGCATGAGGAAGGCGTCGAGCGTGTTCTGCTCGCGGATGACCTGCTCGGCGCGGAGCAGGGCGCGGTCGGGGTGGCCGAGGCGGAGCAGCTGCTCCACGTCGCCGCGCGCCTGCGCGCACCGCACCTGCCTGTGCCCGCGCAGCACGCCGAGCCGCGTCACCGCCAGCCCCAGCATCGACTTGAGCCTCGCCGTCTGCTTCGTCGTCCGCCCCAGCAACACGTCCAGCGTCCTCCCCATCGCCGCCGGCCTCTCCCCTCTCTCACACACAAAAACGAGCAACTGCCTCCTCTTCCACGCTCTCCTGAGACTTCGAGCTCGGTCTTATGTACCCCCTCGTGTGGCGCGGGTGTGTGAAAGTGTGAAAATGGAAGGGAAAATGCGAGGGAACGAAGGACCCGAGGCGAGGGGATGTCACGGTTGATTAGATCGGGTTTGCTTTGTGGCGAAGGCGTCCGTCCGATTTCGGTGTCGACGTCGACGTCGAGCGCGACGTGTATTTAAAGCCGTTCCGAGTAAGCAAGACGCGTGCGGGGCCACTGGGGCCAGGCGGCCCCCGCTCGCGCTCGTGAGTCGTATGACCCGTGCAGCTGCAGGTGCAGCCGTCCTCGCACAGAACTGGTTCACAATCTCCCATGGACCACGTCCCCGCGGCTCGCTCGCACCACGCGGCCTCCCGCGCGCAGGAGATGCCGAGATGCCATCCAGCCCGTTGGTCTCGCGCAGCACGGGGCGCATGCATGCAACGCGCGGCGCGGCCCGCGGGTTTTGTCCGAGCGGAGATTTCGCGGGTCAGAGGCAGCCGCTCGGGACCTCGGGTGACCGTGTGGTCCGTGCGGTGTTGGGGGCGTGCGTGGTGCGCGAGTCGACGCAGCCGGACGCCAAACCGCCGGGCGCCGGCACGTCGTGTGGTGGCGCGTGATTCTGATTTCCTTCGTCTCGGTTTTGAGTTTGACCGGGTAATCGATCGATTGGCAACAGTAAAACGGACTGGTGGGCGGAAAACGACGTTGGAGCGGCTGTGGTTGAAAAATCTGAAAAGCGCGCCAGAAAATTGGGAGTCAACGGTCTAGCAAGGTTCGTTTCCTGTTACTATTACTGCTTTTTTTGCGGGGCATTTGCAAATTTGTAAAATGCCACTCGAATCGAATGACCATTCTAATTGCATTTTGTAATTTTCTAGCGATATTCTTACAATAATAATTTAAATCAGTAGTAAATTCGTAATTACCCTTTTTTTTTGGGTGGTTGGAACGCCATTCATGCTAGCACTGCTTGTGGTTGGCATCAGGGAAAACGGATGACTACTGTTTCGTACGGTCTTCGTCATTGATGCTGTTACACTTAGTACAATTTGAGGCTGGCGTGTTTGCTACTCTAAGGGCGCGGGGTACGGCTGTGTCATGACTCATGACACACTGGGCTGTTGAGTGACCGGGATAAATCGTTTGTCTGGGTTACGTACGTCGATGATTTGCTTATACTCCCTTCCTACCCGAATATAAAAGAAGTTTTAGGGTTATACACAATTATTAAAAAAAATAGGTAGAAGTGAGTGGTGGAAGATTGTGATTGAATGAGTAGTGAAGATAGGTGGAAAAAGTGAATGGTGGAGGATTGTGATTGGTTGGGAAGAGAATATTGGTGGATAAATTGTTATATTTTGGGAAGGAGGGAGTATATGCTAATGTTTAGAGGACTGATTTGGTACTGGTACACATTCAAATGACAACTTTTCATCACCGGAAAAAAAACTAAAATACATAAGTCGAATCTTAATTAGAGTCGTGTGAATAATTTCATCGGTGATATGATCTTGGTTGTACGGAGACACTTCAAACAGAAGATGAGTTATGCATCAGCATCCTGTAGGTTTTTGATTCGGATCACGTATGCCCCGAAATTGGAGGTTGTTATTAACTTTGCTCCTTGTTCGAGTCGATGCCAGGAGGCCAGGACTAGCAGATAAGTACGTCTTGTTCAGTATGAACGACTGTTATTATGCACACTGGCGATCGATTAAAGTCAAGAAAAGAACAACTGATTGCACGTCCCCGCTACACACTCATTTCTACTTTTCTAAACTATTTAGGAAACTCTACTTCAATTTCAATGTCATTGTCATTTTTGAATGCTTCATGAGATATGCAATCCTGGTTACCTTTCAAAGTTGAAAAAACGAGCCAACTCAGTTAAGGCTACGCTAGCGATCGATCCATAAATAATGCGTCGGAAGTGTCCCTTTCGAAGACACAGTACAGTGGTTTGTTCCGTGCGCCACTTGATCGTTCAGTTGGCACACCTGTGTACCTGACCATTCCCCATCAGTTACCATGTCAATGGCCGCAGTACGCGCAATTGCACGTTTCTTTGGTCCGTACAGGTCGCCTCTTCTCGTGCCCTTCCACGAACAGCACAGACACGCGTCTAAAAATCTCTAGATCCAACGGTTTATCACTGTGTTTATCACTTAAAACGAGAAAGAAATACGATTAATATATAATTAATTAAGTATTAATGTATAATATTTTTATGAATAAATTTGTTGGATTTTTTTAATAACTTCGTTATAAAAAAATTTTCACACGAAATATACCGTTTAACAATGCTAACGGAAAACGAGGAGAATCTAATCCTGAAAAGCTGAAACGATCGCACCTTGGGAGCCCATGTGCCACATGTCAAAGCTGACCTTCTCAACGGATTCAGGGTGCCCTGGTCTCCGGGTCAAGTCGCAAGTCGTGTGCGTCCCCCGCGGGAAAATACTCAGGCCCCCTTTAAACAAAGGAAAAATCATAAGAATTTTAGAGGATTTTATCCTATAGGATTTTATTGTATAGAGTCCTTTGATACAAAGGATTATTTCTTACCAATTCCTTAAAAATTCCTATGGAATGGATCTTGCTAGATCAATTTTGGAGGAAAATAAGCATGAGGTCTCACCTCATGTTTTCCTCTTCATGTGTCTAAAATTCCTGCGTTTTTCCTGTGCGCTAATCAAATGATAGTTTAGAGACTTTCCTGTGTTTTCAAAATCCTATAGGAATCCAATAAGCATGACATTCTATTCCTACGTTTTTTCTATCCCTGTGTTTTCTCAATCCTGCGTTTCAAAGGGGCCCTCACTTTCATGTGGTAACCGTAAGCCCAGATTACCAATGAAATGGGGTTACCACGGATAGCGGGCGATTGCCAGCATGCCACAGCTCACGTCTTCCAGAACGCGAGGCGCGACGGCGCCACGCAACCGCGCAGCCGACGCCTCGGCGGCGGACGGCGCTCGCTGCACGGAAGCGAGGCACACCCACCTTTACGCTCCGCTCGCTAACTGCGTTTTTAGCCGCTGGTTTATAGTAAGAGATGTAGGAATATATGATTAGCAATATGGCATTGCCGTCTCTCCGGACTTGGTGTTGGTGATGCCAGCTAATTGGTGCTTTTCTTCGTCCTCCATGGACGCGCTCCGTGTGCTTTCGGTTAAAGTTCATTCTGAACATAAAAAAATGGACGTGATACGGAATTTCAGCAAACCCAATTGGACAACAGAGCAAGCTGAGAATGAAAAACCCACTAAAAACAGAGGCAGCGCAGGAAAAGTGGAAAGTTCGCGGTAAGTTGATGACCATCGAAAGAAGAAAAGCTCATACCTATTCGCATTTTAATGGCAAAGACGAGGCTGATTTCTGCACGGAAGTTCTCGTGTCAACTTTTTTCCATTTCGGAGGACTGCATGTCTGCATGCATCTAGATTCCGCATCCCCGACAATCTACTCAGCTGTGTCGCACCAAATCATCCATTATGCTAATGCTGAGTAGAATACTCCATATTGAAATCGCTCGTATAGTTGTACACTGCGACAGGAAGAGCTAGAAATACTTGCTTACATTTCACGACGGTTGTGATATAAACCAGAAGAATAATGGCACTACCCACCCGATACAAATTCAGTTCTACGTTCGTGGCCCTCAGCAGAGTAGAGTGTATACTGGCACTTGGGCTGCCTGCCTCTGCTGCTGTGCAATGGCGGCATGCCGCATTCAGCAACCACGGGAAGCGGAAAATTCCAATACTGGCCTCAATTTACGGCTATTCGAGATGTATCTGGGGCCTTTGGGTCTGACACTACTGCGCTAAAATGGCCTCGTAGTTGGCCCACTAAAGATCTGGTCCCCTCCACCCTCTGGGCTGAATGCTCCCCTGCTTAGGCCCTTCACAGTGGGCGTTCCTCCATCTAGCTGGAGCGTTACTTCGTCCTACGTGGTGAAAAAAGTTGGTGGGGCCCATAGCTTCACTAGCTTCTTCGGTTCCTAGCGAAGGAATGAGAGCCTCGCTCAAAAAGTCGAGCGCGGGGCCCACCGATCAGAGATGCGAGGACGAGAACGCGCGCCGTGCAGAAGGCCGACCTTGATTCCCGAGCAGGAACTCCTTCCACTCCGACGACTCCGGCTCCAGCTCCAATCCGCGCCACTGTCACCGGTGAGGGCGGGCGAGGACGCGCCACCACCGCCGCCGTCGTTGAGGAGGACGGCGAGGACGCTCCAGATCCGCGCCGCCAGGTCCCGAGGATGCCGCCGCCGCTTGGCGTTGGGGCAGGCGGTGAGGAGAGCGGGGCGAGGATGTGCCGCCGCCGCCCGCCATGACCGCTCCGAGGACGGCGACGACGAGCACGAGGACCGCCGCCCGCCATGACCGCTCCGAGGACGACGCGCCGCCGCCGCCCGCCATGACCACTCCGATGACCACTCCAAGGACGACGACCACGAGCATGAGCACGAGGACGCGCGCGCCGCTCCACTCCAGAATCCGCCAGCCGCCGTTGTCCCCTCGCGCCGCCGCCGCTCCAGATCCGCGCCGCCGCCGTCCTCCTCGCTCCGCCTTCTCGTCGCCACCGAGAGATTCGCGGGGACGGCACGCGCCGCCGTGGGCGACGACGACCTGTACCGCCGCGCGCTCCGGCTCTGTCGGGTCGGTGGGAGTGAAAGTAGGAGAGGGAAAGGGAAAAGGAGAGAAAGGGGAAAGCGGGAGAGAGAATAGGTTGGGGTGGTTGGTTTGGGGATCGTACCCTGCACTGTGAGAGGTATGGATTCGTTGTGTATCTATCCTACGTGGCATACGAGGTAACGCAAATGAGGTGCTTGCACTGTGAATGGCCTTAGGCCGTTACTCACAGCGTCTAGGGGTTGCTAATTGGCGCTCGAGCTCACTCTCCCCACGCATTTTTTTGCCATCTTTTTCGCTTCCTCCCCTCACGCGTATTTCCTTTTTTTTCCTTATACTTTTAATCGTTAGCACACGTGTTTTCAAAAATATTTGAGCCGAAAGTTTCCAAATGTTAACTTACAAGTTTTTCATTTTGAAGAAACTTTCAAATCTCGAGTTGAAAATTTTCAAATCTAATTTTAAAGTTTTCAAAATTTTTCGTATAAATTTAAATTTTGATTTGAAAATTTTCAAAGTTTCAGTTGAAAGTTTTTAAAATTCAACTTCAAAGTTTAAATCTTAAGTCGAAAGTTTTTAAATCTAACATAAAAGTTTTTAATCTGTTAGTAAAAAAAATCTTCCAAAAAAGAAAAATCTTATCTTAATTATCGTCATTATCTAAAACTAATTCAGTTAGTTAGGAGTCTAAAACTAATTCAATTAGTTAGGCTGCTCCCGGAAACGTGCGCGATTTAGCTTTTCCGGCGTCTCAAGTGTGGACCAAAATAGGTTTCTAGATGCACAGATTTCCCCAAAATAGGTGTGAACTTTGTTATCGGAGTACACTAGTTTGCTTTCAGAATTAGTCCACTTCTAATCCCTCAAAATATAGATCCAATTCTATTTATATCCCTCAACCGTAACCGTGGATATCTTGATCCCCAAACTTTTAAAACCAATGCAAAATGACTCCCTCAGTGGTTTTGAAGGTGTTTTTCATTGACCTAGTCCAACCACGTAAGTTAACATATAAAGTCCACATGTCAGTGACTCCTTTCCTTCCTTACTTCACTCTTTCCCATATTTCCTTTGCACGGTGGTTTACTTTTGTGGTTGGTTACTAGCGATATTATGAGCATTATCTCATTCTCCTGAGTAGACTACTTTTTTTCTATATCTAATCCTTTTAAGAAGTAATCGAACGGGTGGAGAAAGACCATCAAGTTCTTCGATATGATATGGTTTTTTATAAACCCACAAGGAAGTATTTGGATCTTTTAAAGCCAATCTTTTTCTTGCCCTTGTGCTTAGCGGTGGTGCCAGGCATCGGTTGGCTATTAAGGATTAAGCTTTGACCCGAAGGCACCGTGGGAATAGCTCAGAAGGAGGTGATAAGCATTATAAAATTGATACGAAGAATATCCGTAGAAATCTTTCTATTCGTAGTAGTCTAGGACCCGGGCTTTGGGGACGAGGGTTCGTATTCCTATTTATTTCTTTGGATTGAGCGACAAAAACAAGAGTGATGCGCGGCAGCAGAAGAGCAATGGCGGGGAACGACAGGGAGACTCATGCATCGGCATTCGGTAGGAGGGCAATGGAGGAGACGGGAGGCGAACGCATGTAGCAAGTATTCCAGGTCGAATGGTGAGGCCAGCGCCATGAGGCTGAAGAAGATGAGCTTTTTGACCAGTTCGTTGTGCCATCGATCTTTGCAGTTGTCTCGGCGACAGTCGTAATGGCGGTGGTGGTTGAGGGGATGACCGCGGCGTGCCCGCCGCATGCTCTTCTTGCTGAGCGAGGCGCCGTCATAGAAGGGAGGGCGAGCTCGACCTCGACTGGGCTCGTTGACTGCCGATGCCACTGCCTCCCTTCCCGCATAGCTCGAATTCAATAGGGGTGGAAGCGGTGCAGGTGTGGCCAACAAGATTGGAGCAGCTGGCTTCCCGACAGTGGGGCAGATCGAGGCTCTGAAGCATGGAGGTGGAGTTTTTGCTTGCTGTGTTCATCTCGTTGTTAGAGTCATCTCTTCTGTTCCACTGGAGAACCGCTAAAGATGCTACATCCACGCGCGCCACCGCGGCACCGCCAAGCTCCTGGCCTGTCGAAGCCACCGACCGCCGTCCCCCTTCACGCGACGCATACAAACGCCGCTCAAGCTAGAGAGCTCCGTTGTCTCCAAATCGTTGCCCCGCTCAAGCTAGAGAACTCGCTAGCTTCTCCCTCAATGCCTCTTGTCTCCATGTTTAACTTGTCCGCTCCATCCGCTCCTCTCCCCACTAATGTTGCGACAACCTCGACGGACGCACGCGTCAGGCTTATGGCGGACAGCTCCTTGGACGTGCTCTCTGCCACGGTTCCATCCTGTGAGTTTTCTCTATTGGATGGAAACTCTCGCACTCACGCTGTGCGGAGCGTTCGCGTTAATTAGATCGGAACAGCCCCGATCGTGGCTTTACATGTGCGCCAGGAAGTTGCCCAACAACCTGGGAGCGATCACCAGGGAGCTGCCTAACAACCTGGAAGAGATTACATCGCATGCAAAACAAGATTAACTAGATAATAGGAACTCTATCTCTAACTGCAGATCAGGGAGTGGATTCTGATCCCTCGAGGGGATATCCTCTCGTATACATTTTTCTTCCAAATTCAATACAAATAGTTGTAAAAAAATCTGAAAAAAATTAATAATGTAGAGTATAATGATACCTACTAGTCCACCAAAATTCATGTTCAAACTCGATCTACACATCTAGAAACAAAAACGACAAATTTAGATATAAACAGTACGCTACTATTCATATGCTGAATTTGTCTTTTTTATATCTCGACGTGTGAGTTGAATTTGAACTTAAGATTTTATAGAGTTGTATATATGTGTTGTATGAATGTTGTCAAATTTTTCCAGAATTTTTCATAACCGTTTGGATGGTTTTTAAACAAACGAGGGAACATCCCCTCGAGGGATTAGAATAGTTTCCCCTGCAGATCATGATCGCACGTGGTTGCATGTGATTGACGTGGAGGATAGGATAGACTTCAGAAGTAGTGTAACACCCTCTCTCAATCATAACCGTTTAAGGTTAAGATTGCTTTTAAAATTCTCCAGTAGTCGAACTGACAACGGTTTAGTAAACCCATCTGCAACTTGATCACCTGAAGAAACAAAATCAATTTCTAGTAATTTCTGACTCACCCGTTCTCTGACAAAGTGATAATCAACCTCTATATGCTTTGTTCTAGCATGAAAAACTGAATTTGCTGACAAGTATTTGGCTCCAAGATTATCACATCAAATCTTTGCTGCTCGAGGACTCTTGATCCCCAACTCTGCTAATAAGGTTTGTACCCACATTATTTCTGCTGTTGCATTTGCTATGGCTTTGTACTCTGACTCTGTACTTGACCTTGAGACAGTGGCTTGTTTTCTAGCATTCCATGACACTAGATTTGAGCCTATGAACACAGCAAAACCTCCAGTGGACTTTCTGTCATCTACACTGCCAGCCCAATCTGCATCTGAGAATCCACTCACAAGTGTGGACCCAGACCTGTCTATATTAAGCCCCATACTAGTACACTGTTTTATATATCTCAATATTCTTTTTACTGCTGTCCAATGCACTGTTGTAGGAGCATGAAGGAACTAACACACCTTATTAACAGAGAAAGCTATATCTGGCCTAGTGAGAGTTAAATACTGTAATGCACCAACTATACTTATATACTGTGTTGCATCATTAGGTCCTAAGAGAGATCCCTCATGTAAAGACAACTTCTCACTAACAGATAAAGGAGTGGTAGCAGGTTTACAATTCAACATCCCTACCTTCTTTAGTAAATCAGTAGCATACTTATCCTGAGTAAGAACAATGCCATTGTGTGTCTTGTTTACCTCAATGCCAAGAAAATAGTGTAACTCACCAAGATCTTTTAGAGCAAATTCTACCTTCAGATCCTGTAACAATGCTGTTGTTGCCCTCTCTGAGGAACTTACTACAATTATATCATCTACATATACCAAGATAAAAATAGCAATATCTCCTTTATGCAGAAAGAATAATGATGTGTCAGCTTTTGAGGCACTAAACCCAAGATCAATCAGTTTGTTGCTTAATCTGGCAAACCAAGCTCTTGGAGCTTGTTTCAAACCATATAAGGACTTATCTAGTTTGCATATATAGTGTGGCTTAGTGACATCCTCAAATCCTGGTGGTTGGTCCATATAAACTTCTTCTTCTAGATGACCATGAAGAAAAGCATTTTGCACATCTAACTGTCTAAGGCTCCAACCTCTAGACACAGCTATAGATAAAATGATTCTAATTGTAGCAGCCTTGACCACTAGACTGAAAGTATCCTCATAATCTATTACATACCTAAAGAACCATCAGCTTTCCTTTTAATTTTATAGACCCACTTACATCCTATGACATTCTTCCCTCTCTGAGGTGGGACTAAGTGCCAGGTATTATTTCTGATTAAGGCATCATATTCAGATTCCATAGCATTTTTCCAATTTTTATCTTTAAGAGCCTCTATATCATTACTAGATTACTAGGTTCTCCAGAATTGGTAAAACAAGAGTACTTTAACTGTACCATCAGTATATATCTTCTCCTTCCAAATGCCGCTTTGTAATCTTGTTCTGGGTCGGACTTGCGGTGCAAGCTCCTGTTCCTGTGTTATCTCCTGCTCGGGATGATCACTGTTAGTGTTATACTACCTCCGTCCCATATCACTTGTCTTTTTAAGTTTTTATTTGTCAATGTTTGATCATTCGTCTTATTTAAAAAATTTTGGAATTATTATTTATTTTGTTTGTCATTTGCTCTATTATCAAAAGTACTTTACATATGACTTATCTTTTTTTATATTTATACTAATTGTTCAAATAAAACGAATGATCAAACGTTGCAAATAAAAAGTCAAAAACGTCACCTATTATGGACGGAGGGAGTAATATTCATCAGTACCTGACAGCGATGATGATGGATCAGCAGAGGACAGATCGGCGGAGGGAGATGACCGCTGCTCCCCCTGTGCCTCCTGACGAGCTGTTCCTGGAAGAATAATTCTGTCGCCAGCATGTGTCTCCTGATGCTGCCGCGTGTCAGCGCCTGAATGGTGAGGTCCAGGCGAATGCGTGTGAACAGACCCTGGCGACAGGAAGGTGTCAGGCTCCTGTTCTGCCGAATCTGCATCAAAATCAATCCCTGCGGGATCTTCTGTGGCCACGGAATGTGCTGTATCAATCTCAATATTTGCATCAGCAAACTCATTAGCAGCAGGATTTATAGGATTAGTCAAATGGTGTAATACATTGTCATCCCCACTAGTAAACAAAGACGGAAACAAGAGTATTTCAGACCGAAGCCGAGCGCCTGCATTTGCATGAAGCTCAGAGAAAGGGAATACCGTTTCATCAAAAACAACATCCCGAGAAATATAGATCCGACCTAAAGAAATTTATAGGCATTTGAATCCTTTGTGCATATTGCTAAAACCAAGGAAAACACACCGTTTAGACATGAATTCCAACTTGTGCTTATTATAGGGACGTAAATTGGGCCAACAAGCACACCCAAAAATACGCAAAGAGGAATAATCAGGTTTTTGTTGGAATAATTTTTCCAAAGGACTGATATTTTGTATAACTCTGCTAGGAACCCTATTAATCAAATAGGTTGCTGCTTGAAAGGCTTCATCCCAAAATTTTAATGGCATTGTGGCATGAGATAATAAGGAGAGACCAACTTCTACAATATGTCTATATTTGCGCTCAGCAGACCCATTTTGTTGGTGAGTGTGAGGGCAAGACACATGATGAACAATGCCAATTTTGGAGAAGAAATTATTTAAAGCTTGGTACTCCCCTCCCCAGTCAGTTTGCATGGCTAAAATTTTTCTATCAAACAAGCGCTCTACCATAACTTGGAACTCTTTAAATTTCTCAAAAACTTGGGATTTATTTTGCAAGAGATAAATCTAAGTAAACTTGCTAAAATCATCAATAAAACTGACATAGTACTTCTTTCGTCCTACAGACTCTGGAGCTGGGCCCTAAACATCAGAAAAAATAAGTTCCAAAGGATAATGAGAGACACTTGATGAAACAGGAAAAGGTAACTGATGACTCTTAGCTTGTTGGCAAGCATTACAAACTGACTCATTAATAGAATCTAAACATGGGAGATTATTCTTATTGACCACTTGTCTAACGACTGAGGAGGAGGGATGCCCAAGACGACTATGCTATCGAGTCAAGGACAACTTAGTGGCACTGCAGGCTTGCTTCAAGGATGACCTGGGAAGGGGATAAAGCCTGCGGTGTGATGTTCCTTTAAGAAGAGTTCTCTTGGTTGCCAGATCCTTAAGAAAGAAATAATCACGGTGAAGTTCAAGAAAAGCAGAATTATCATCAACTAAACGGTGTACAGATATAAGATTCCTTTTGGCTTGTGGAACATATAGAACATTTTTAAGATGGATATCACGATTACTAGGGGTATGAACAATAGTATTGCCAATATGACTTAGATCCATACCTGCTTCGCTGGCGGTGTGGATCTGTTCTCCCCCATTATACTTGTCATTCACAGTGAGTTTCTCCAGTTCTCCTGTGATGTGATCAGTGGCTCTAGTGTTGATATACCAGTTGGTATCAACGCCATAGGAGCTTGTTGCTACTGCAGCAATATTCTTACTGTCAGGAATATAATCCTTGTCATACCTGTACCAGCAATCTACGGCGGTGTGTCCCCTCTTGAAGCAAACTTGACAGATCGGTCTGCGATCCGCCCCACTTTGCGCGCGTCCTCGACCGCGCGCTCCATTGCTTGTGCCGCGGCTAGGAAAGGCACGACCGCCGCGTGGAGCTCCTCCGCCGCGGCCAGGAAAGCTGCCGCGGCCACCTCCTTTGTTGGCGACGTTGACGGTGTTTTCTTGAGTCCCCCGATAGAGAGACCTGCGGGCCTCAAAATTGAGGACTTGATTGTAGAGGTCACCCACCGTCATGGGTTCTAGCCGTGCGCACACGGCGGAGATCACTTCGCTTTAGTCTTCGCCCAACCCAGTGATGATGTACTGGATTAGTTCCTCATCGTCAACCGCTTGCCGGATGCGGTGGCCATCTCATCTCCTAGAGCTCTCATCTTCCCGAAGAACTCCGGGAGCGAGAGATTGCCTTTCTTGGTGTTGGAGAGCGCGAATCTTGTGTTGATGCAACGCGCCCTCGTTTGCGTCGAGAACATTTGCTCGATGATTGTCCATGCTTCTGCCGCAGTTTCACACGTCGCGACTTGCATGAGAACATCTCGTGAGAGAGACGACAGGAGGTAGCCAAGGACCTGTTGATCCGAGGCCTCCCAATCATCAAACTCCGGATTGTTTTTCTTCTCTGTTGTCTTGCCGTCGCTGCTTGTGACGACGATCTGCGCTTGAGGTTTCTTCGTCGCGCCTGTCAGGTGCCCTTGGAGGCGAGCACCACGAACTGCAGCGCTGATCTAAACTCTCCATAACGCGTAGTTGTTCTTCCCAAGTTTCTCACTCACGGGGTGGCCTAGGAAGGAATTGCCGGTATTACTAGAGGAAGACGCCATGGCAGGGAAAGGTGGAAGGGATTGATTTTTCGGTAGATTGGATCAACGCTCTGATACCATGTGAGTTTTCTCTATTGGATGGAAACTCTCGCACTCACGCTGTGCGGAGCGTTCGTGTTAATTAGATCGGAACAGCCCCGATTGTGGCTATACATGTGCGCCAGGAAGTTGCCCAACAACCTGGGAGCGATCACCAGGGAGCTACCTAACAACCTGGAAGAGATTACATCGCATGCAAAACAAGATTAACTAGATAATAGGAACTCTATCTCTAACTGCAGATCATGATCGCACGTGGTTGCATGTGATTGACGTGGAGGATAGGATAGACTTCAGAAGTAGTGTAACACATCCGGCGGCATGGAGGTGGCCACCACGGCGTTCACCAGCCTTGTTGTCGCTGTGTTGTCCGACGATGGCCACCACGGGTCGGACCTAAGCTGTGCCAGGTGTGGAGTGGTTGGAGAAAAAGGATAGAGAGAGGAGAAGGGCACTGCAAGTAGGCCCTACATTTTTTCTTATTTTTCCCATCACTTACATGTGGGCCGAACTTCTATTTTGTGATTGGGCTACCACGTCAACACATGCGGACCAAGTCAACACGTCACGTCAGTGAAAACTGCTGATGCGGGAGTCCAATTATACATGTTTTAGGCCCTGTTTCTTTCAGCTTGGGATTATTATAATCTAGATTATTGAGTCAGATTAGTATAAGCTAGATTGTTATAATCTGTAGTAGAATAAGTGGTTAGTTGTTTCTTTTCTAGATTATTAGAGCCTAGATTATTAGGTTTGCAAGTCTAAAGAGGGAGTGGGGTGGCATGGTGGATAATTTTTCATCCAATAATCTGGAAAAAGCTCACCTAAATGAGCTTATCAGATTATAATAAGCTGGGCTCCAGATTATAATAAGCTACTTTAATAAGTTGTCTGTTTCTTTCAGCTTACTCCCAATAATCTGGATTATAATAATTCTGAGCTGAAAGAAACATGGCCTTAATAGTTAAGCATCAAGAAATCCAGTATGATGGTTAGAGAAATGAATCAGGTTTAAACTATAATTTGAGGGATTCGAAGTAAACTATTCCTTTGCTTCCGCTCACGGTTTAAACTTTCTACATGGGCCTAGTTTGACCCGTATACTCGGCCTCGCCCCCGTTGACTTGTACATGACACATTGACACTCGCGAGCACTCTGCAGGCCATGTTTAGTTTCAAACTTTTTCTTTAAACTTTTAACTTTTTTATCACATCAAAACTTTTTTACACATATAAACTTCTAAATTTTTCATCACATCATTCCAATTTCAATGTAAATTTTAATTTTGACGTGAACTAAGTACACCCTAGTCAGTAGTCGTTAGCAGGCTGTACGTGATCATGACGCACGCGGGGGCAACCCGCAACGCCGCGAAGCGACGGCAGTACGGGCTACACTCGCTCGCGCGGCGCCTCCTGCGCTGCGCATGCTAGCTATTCGCTTCGGCTCGCCGAGATGCCACATGTGTGCGCACCGGCACCGCGCGAGACGCCGACACACGCACCACGCCCGCGCGCCATGCACGCACCGTCACACACCGACTCCCATCCACCACCACCGATATGATCGCGCACCGCGTCGCGCTCTGCCCCCTCTCCCATCTTCTCCGGGCAAAAGGCCGATCGACGACGACGGCGACGCATGCCCGCCGGCCCCGCCACGCACGGCGGTGGTGGTAGTGCGCGCGCGCGCGAGCAAGTAATAAACTCATGGTTAGCCAAGTGGGCGCACCTGGGGCGTGTACTTTGCGTCGGGCCGGGACAAATCACGGATGCGTGGACGTCGTGGAACGTCCTGCTTGCTCGGCTAGTGCGCTACATCGATGATCAACCGGTGCATCAGGAAGCATCTACCAGCAGTGCATCACAGCTAGTGTGGAGATTAATTAGCAGAGGTAACTAATCATGCATGCAATAAGTATATATATAGCAGCCGCTCTTGATGCTAATGATGCGTAAGATGGGCTCGAGGAGTTGCACGGTTTTATGAGTCTACTATATAATACCTACTGCATCAGTTTTAAAATGTACTAAGAAACTAGAATTATATATATATATATATATATATATATATATATATATATATATATATATATAGGATATATCCTATCACTATTTTTAACACAACATCCTATCACTGTAAATTTAAACATACTCTAACCAGATTCGTACTACAGGATATGTTCCATTCTTATATTTTGAGACAAAAATAGTACTCCCTCAGTTTCATAATGTAAGTCATTCTAGCATTTCTCACATTCATATTAATGTTAATGAATCTAGACATATATATCTATCTAGATTCATTAACATCAAGATGTGTCTAGATTCATTAACATCAATATGAATGTGGGTAATGCTAGAATGACTTACATTGTGAAACGGAGGAAGTAGATGTTTATCTGTTGACCTGGGGCTCAATGCTAATGTATTCTACTCCCTCCGTCTCATATGAAGTGCAGCCATGGATTTCCGTGCCCAATTTTGATCGTCCATCTTATTTAAATTTTTTTTAAAAAATAAAAATATAAGTCACGTATAAAGTATTATTTATGTTTTACCATCTCATAACAACAAAAGGTAGTACTAATTAAAAAAAATTAAATAAGATAAGCGACTAAAGTTGAGCACTAAAATTTATAATTCATAGTTGCATTTAAAATAAGACAGACGGAGAGAGTATTGTAAGTAGGGGTAGCCAGGTAGGTGTGAGGAACGGGAGGACCGTAATTGGTATAGGTAGTACTAATGAAATCGCACATTGGATTTCAGCTCAGCCCAGGTCCAAGCAACTGTGTTTTACTATATGAATGTGCTCTTAATTTCTTAACCCTCCTAAAAAAAGAACTATACGAATGCGCAGTCCAGTTTAGCTTTCTCATCTTAATTTCCTTTGTGTTTGTGGGCCAGATTAATCGATCGAGCACACCGAAACACATGAACTTTAATTGCACACTTAAAGGCCCTCTTTGTTTAGGCTTAGACTTATTGGCTTAAACTTTTAAGTCAGCTTATTGGCTTATATGATTTATAAGCCGGTGGATTTAATGTCCTAAGTTTAGTGGTTGAGTCATACATCTACCTCACATAAGCCAAAAAAGCTTCTCCAACCTAGCTTTTGGCTTAATAGTGTTAGAGTGGCTTATGGCTTCAAAAAAGCTAAACGGAAAAGCTGCTTGTTTGTTTAGGCTTAGACTTTTTGACTTATAAGTTGGCTTATAAGCCTAAACAAAGAGGGCCTAAGAACTGTTGTTTAATTAGCTCCCTGTCCCCGTGTCGCATTAATTCTAGCCATACATCTGGGCCCTGTTTGAAAGATTAGCTCATGGCTAATTTTGAGAGCTATTGTTTAGTCATGAATTGGTAGGCTAAACATTAGCCTAGAGTGGTAAGTTTGGATCCATGGGCTAATTCAAGACTAAAAGGTGGAGAGAGAGAGTAGAAAGAGAGGTGAGAGAAGGAGAGAGAGGGCTGCCTTTTTATGGTCCCCTTACAAAATTAGCCCCATTAGCACCCCTTGGAGAGGCTAATGTTTTGAGGAGGCTAATTCACTTTAGCCAAAAATTAGCCCACTTGTTTGGATCCTTGAGGGCTAATTCATGGCTAAAAGGTGGGGGCTAATGTTTAGCCTATGGAACCAAACAGGACCCTGGAAGCACTATATATTGGCTTGATAGCGCACCGTTTTCCTCCTACTTTTAGGTACCTCGTCCAAACAGTTCAACAACACCGTTCACATCATCACAGGAGAAACACCGTCTGTATTCTAATAGTCTCATATGGAAGCGTGTCGTCACTCGTCACAGATTCACCGTGTGGACAGTGTGCCACGTCGGACGGCCAGAGTGCAAATATTACTCCCTCCGTTTCATATCATAACACTTTCTAACATTGTCTATATATATATATATATATATATATATATATGTTAATGAATCAAGATACATGTGTGTCTAAATTTATTACTCCCTCCGTCCCATAATATAAGGGATTTTGAGTTTTTGCTGGTACTGTTTGACCACTCGTCTTATTCAAAAAATTTATGCAAATATAAAAAACAAAAAGTTGTACTTAAAATACTTTGGATAATAAAGTAAATAAAAAAATAAATAATAATTCTAAATTTTTTTGAATAAGACGAGTGGTCAAATAGTGCAAACAAAAACTCAAAATCCCTTATATTATGGTACAGAGGGAGTAATATCTATATGAATATGGACAATGCTAGAATGTATTATAATCTGAAAAGGAGATAGTAGCTAGCTATTGGATCGATCCAAAAGGACATTTCAACAACAATAGAACCATATACTCCCTCCATACTCATAAAGAAAGTCGTTTAGGATAATGTTTAAGTCAAACTTTGGAAATATAAATCAATAAATAATTCTCAAGTTGTTGAGTTTGAAAATGTAACAAATTATATGTATAAATTTATCTTGAAAAATACTTTCATAAAAGTATAGATATATCACTTTTCAATAAATATTTTTATAGAAATAAGAAGTTAAAGTTGTGTTTTGGAGACCGTGTCGATGTTCTAAACGACTTCTTTTACGAGTACGGAGGAAGTATTACAATTAAAACATTTACGACGGTTTATTACTGGTAGTATCCAGTAGAAATTACAACTGGAATAATGAAATGATATGTTTGTACTGTGTTTTCTCTTCTTTCTACTGCTCTTACAACAGCATGGTTCTGTTTCTTCTCGCCTTGACACTGTACCGAACTGTCGTTCTCTTCTTCCTTTCCTGAAGCATTATCCGGGCCTGTTTAGTTCACGAAAAGAAATTTTTTGGGTGTCACATCGGACGTTTGACCGCATGTCGGAAGAGGTTTTCGGACACAAATGAAAAAACTAATTTCATAACTCGCCTGGAAACCGCGAGACGAATCTTTTAAGCCTAATTAATCCGTTATTAGCAAATATAGGTTACTGTAGCACTTATGGCTAATTATGGACTAATTAGGCTCAAAAGATTTGTCTCACGATTTCCCCCCTAACCGTGCAATTAGTTTTTTAATTTATCTATATTTATTAATACTCCATACATGTGTCAAAGATTCGATGTGATGTTTTTGGGAAAAAGTTTTTGGGAACTAAACAGGGCCTCCATCCAATACAGTGACTGATGAGACCTGCATGCATGTTGTGTCATTTGGGCGGGGGC